GAACTAATTATTAATGTGTGTCTGTGCTGATGGAGACAAAACGTCTCGTCTGTTGCCAACCGACGGTTTTCTTTGTCACAAATTATAAAAATGCTATAAACGTATGAAATTAAACACGAAAACATTATCATCACCATCATATACATAGATGGCAGTCAACAACTGTGCAATTTTCGCGAAAGTTTCTGCTTCGCACACAAAAACTTTGGAATGACACAGAAAACAACCACAGCGTTGTGTTTCACCATGTGAGTGAGGTTACCGGAGGCCAATCCTTCCCCTCCCCCAATCCCTCCTCAATCCCTAAATATCCAAATCCCTAATCCCTAAAAAGGTCGGCAACGCACTCGTAACTCCTCCGTTGCGGGTGTTCCATGGGTGGCGCTGATTGCTTACCATCAGGTAATCCGTCTGCTCGTTTGCCGACATATTACATAAAAAAAAGATTTTTTTGCGGCGGTGTTTCCGAACTGAAACGACTTTCAAACCTTCAAGACCTGTGAGTCCTCTGGCACAGTATAAATATCATACAGTATTGTAACTCGGCCGCTTGAAAGAAATAAATACCTACAGCCGCGCGGTACGTAAACATGCGTTAGGGCTGCTCGTCTCCAGTATTTTAATTACCTTTGTCTACTTTCTGTTTCCATTTAGTTTTGTGATTGTAAATATCCTTTTTTTTATATAAACAAATAAAGTGCTTTAAAAATAAACAAAATTTCTTTGGCCACTAATGCCGAACTGAACAGCTGACTACGAATGTTCTAAAATCACAACCCTCAAACATCAAAATATTACATGAGTCTAGCTGTTTTATTGTTGTTATTAAATATTTTCTAGTATTATTCATAAACGCAGATAATAAGCAAATATTATTAATAATAAAATACCACACTCTCTACTTTGAATTATACAAACTAACAAAACATACATGAACCGTTTTAACACAAGCGTAAGTAGGTAGGTACCTAACGTATCATGATTCATTCAGAACCAGAACCGCCTATAACTACCTATTTCACTCGTCTCAATAACTTTATTCATATTATTTATAAATTCAAACATCTGTTTTCGTGAGATAACTGGAAATAATGATCCATAAAGACACACATTATGTACCTACCTAGGCTACTAGTAAGTAAAATTATTTTATAGTCTTACCTTTCAGAGTTTCCAGGTAATTTAAAAAAAACTTATGTCTGGATGCGTTATTGGCGAATTCATGCAACCAAACATAATAACAGCACAATATTTCCTATTCGTCATATTAAATAATGTACTCGAGCTGATTTCTAAATAAAAGACACCACACCGTCCGTTCGTCACTACGGTACAGCCGCGTCTGTCTGCGTCCCGAGCGCGTCCCGACATCGGGCCCGTAGGTATAGTTCGCGTTTCGGCCGTTTCTATGAAGTTGAAATACTTGTAGATATTATTACCTTGCCTCTGGTGTTGCAGGTGTCCATGGGCGACGCTGATCACTTACACTCATAAGGTGATCCGTCTATTCGTTTGCCTCATATTCTGTTATTGATTGAGTAATTGGTCAATTGCACGGTTGGCGTGGTGGCTGGGCAACTGGCTGCCGCGCCACGTGTCGCGGTTTCGATTCCCGCACAGAACGACTCTTTGTGTGATTCACAAATGATGTTCGAGGTCTGGGTGTGATGTTTGTAAACGCATCCACGACACAGGAGAAAATCCTAGTATGGGGCAACGTTTTTATACAAAAAATAGTTTCTTGGTAATTTCGAAATTCTTCGGCTATTTTTAAAAAATATTGAAGATGTATGTTTTCTATAATTTTTTCCACATGTCCACTTTCACCCCCTCCCCCCCCCCCCCCCCCTCCTGAATATTTGAAATAAAAATAATCATTTTCATGTTTTGTCTGGATCAAAAAATATCAAGGGTTTCCTTCTGCCCTATGCTAATAGTCCCAACTCCGGCTCTCTAGTATCGAGGTTTAGATAGTCGGCTAACCTAATACACAACCTCGTTCACTTTTATAACAATATTTACCTGATTTGTAACAATTCAAAAGGTAAATAATTATTTAAAAATGTACTCAAATCAGGATCACGGGCTAACTAGTGTTGTCTGTCAAAGTCGATTGACAGTACAAACTAAATTAAATAACATTTACATGAAATGGATACATTTTAAATTAAATTACCTAAATATTTTATATTAAAAGTTATCAAGTCAAGCTTTGATTTATTTTTCGTTTCGATAAGCTGAAGGTGAGAACATTGAATTATTGTTATTTATTTGTAAAACGTTTAACTTCAGTTTCCCTAATGATAAGTTTTGACTACACCTCTGTAGTTTTCTGTCTTCTTACATCGAAAATACTCAAAATTATTTTTTAACTCAAAGTTTTCTTTGTTCTAAACTACGTTTCCAGCAGATTTGCCCTTTTGTTATTACTGGTGCTAGCGCAATGTGGTTCCACGGCTCCGGCCTGGAGCAAGAGAAGAAAGCGATGTGGTTTCTAGTCAATAAGAGTCTGAAAGTTCTTGCTACTCTAGGCGAGATAAGTCATTAGATGATTTAATTGTTTCTCAATTAAAACAAAAAGAAAATTAGCAAATTATGTCTTGTTTTTCTATTATCTCTTATGGAACAGTCAACAGAACGGATAATAAGTATTTTTTTTGCTAAAGTGTTAAGTATTTATTATTTGATAAACTTAAACAGTGCAATACGTAATCATAAAAAGCACTATACAATTGATCAGGTTCCACGTAAAATAGGAATCGAATTCGACTTAAGTACTCGATGAAGTTTCACAAACTATTCACATCTAATAAATTAAGATATATAATATAAAGTAGATTTAAAGTTTACAGAGAATAATTTTGCAAATATCCGCGATTTTGTGGGAAAATCTACAAAAATTGCAATAACATTTAGTTTATTCAAATGGTTCGTGCTATGCAGGCTCGGTGGCTCGGAAAACATGCTTGTAGGAAATCGTTTGAGCCATTCTGATACCACGTTCCCTGCGTTCGTGTATGTAAAGGGGTTATTCTAAATTTTCTATATAATCTTAGCTAAGGTATAGTACGTTACATAATACATGTTCTTATGTGCACACATTGTAAGGAGTATGTGCGTATTTTGCATGTAATTTTAATATTTTTTTAGTAAAATAAATACTTAAATGTTTCACTCTACTTTAACTATTCCTCGAACGGTTAGGCAAACGTTGTTACAGTAAATTACTAGCTTCTGCACATGGCGTCGCCCGCCTAAGCGCTACTGCAGGGTCTAACCAAATCGGTCCAGCCATTTTTACATGAAAGAATAACAAACGTAGATCCATACATTCACACAAACATTTACATTTATAATATTAGTATGAAATTAGCAATATATAGTACGATTTTTGAATAAAAAATGTATTATTATGCATTGGTAAATTCATTAATACTTCTCATGTATTGGCGACCCAAAAAGTTAAGACTACACGTCCACGATTGGCACGGTGGCTGGGCAACTGGCTGTCACGCAGCACGTCGCGGTTCTAACTTCCGCACGGAACAATTCTTTATGTGATCCAGAAATTGTTGTTATGGGCCTGGGTGAGAATTGTATGTTTGTAAATGCATCACAATTTATGAGGAAATCCTGTATGAAACAGGGTTAGTTTTAAAGAAAAAATAACATACTTTCTCATATTCAACTAACTTACCCTAAATACCCAAACAGTTATACACCATCATGTATAAAACGTAGCATAGAAATATCAGGGAGTGTGCAAACTGAACGCCTGCAGCGCCTACAATGGGCGACCTCGTTTCCTCTCTTGAATATTTACGTCGAGATGAGCACCTGACACTCTGCCCTTCTAGCCTTCTTCCATCACACATCCGCGTCAAAACAATAGCTTAATCTATTCCTTTGTCCACTTCACTCACTTGAATTCTTGGAATTGCTTGAATTCCAAAACGATACGCACATTTTCGTTTAAGGAAAGTTGACGTCCGTGATGGTTTTTGAGCAAAATAAAAGAATATAGATTTATTTAAGTTGCTAATAAATTAGTGTTTTTTTTAATCTTATTTCAGTTTAGTTTATTTATGCAATATTTTTAGCAATAGATAAATATTAAATAATATAATGTTAACTGGATTCAGTCCCATCATATCTTATAATCTACTTCAGCCTATTAAATTTAACAAACTTAACAAACTTTAATTTAACTAATCCAAATAATCGAGGGCGGCTGCAAAATAATGTGGCGACAATATGTTATTAAACAACCTACACCCTGTTTATTTAAATGGCATATTAACTCTCTGACTGATGATAATTTATAGAATCAGGCGTTACCTACTCGCGAAAAGCCGTGGCAAAACATGCCACGCAATGAAACCTATACTATTGAGTATAGGTGGCATATTTTTCCGTTTTTTGCACATGTGCATATGCATGTTACCTTTGCTGCATGTGCATATGCATGATTGCATAGGAGTGGGATTGCATTCTGCAACAAACCTGGATGTTTGTCAGAATAACGTTTTGCCTGTAATAACGAAATATTTTTCCTAACATGTAATCTCTGGCTGATCTCTAACTAACTGAAATCTTTCACATTCTGCTACGTACACTTTAGTTTAAGGAACATTGCCCCTTCCTATTTTAGTAAAGGTTTCTTTATTTGATACTCTAAAGTATTTTCTATCGAATATTTATTACTTTTCCCGGACATCATCTGAGACAATATTATATGGCTTTGGCAATAAACTTATTGTTCGACGGCCAGTTTCACTCTTTCATTATAAATAATGTATGTGGTGGCAATTTCTGTGACCATGACCGTGTGTCGCCTTCTGCATACTAAAGCCTTTTTATACAGTACTCTTCATTCCTTCAACGTATTGCGAACGTTTGTTTTTTTTATTGTAACCTCGATAAACAAAGCTGGTTTAAGAAATTAAACTATAAATAATAAATAAATCATACGCTATAAAATAAATCATACATCACGTTAAATGAGCAATCGTACCATCGGACGGTAAGCAATCAGTGCCGCCCATCGACAACCTCACCCAAGGAAGAAGTTCGATTGCGTTGCAGACCTTTTGGGGATTCTCTAAGAATCTATCTCACCGAATTAATTTTAGTTGTGAACTATCGATTAGGAAATATACAATCTTTTTAACAACAAAAAATATCAACATATAACAGTTACAGGCTATAATAATAATATTTTTTTTATCAAGAGTACTAAGTTAAGATATTTTTTATGGAATAGGAGGCAAACTATAATTTAGCGAATATAACATCGAGATTTAATTTATTATATTACACATAGCTTCCAACAGAGACCTCAAGGTGGAGGATTGAAATAACGAAAGATCCTCATGTAATTTTGATTTTAATACTACTTACAACTAAAATATCAAACTTAAGAAACCTTCAGTACCCTACCCGACCAGAGAATTGAACACGACATTTTTACACACCAGGGCACCAGATTCTTATTTATATGAACTTTTATTTTTCACAGAATTTCGAATGATGTCATCACAGAAGAGACGCAGTACGAATCCTTCGTAAGTTTAAATCTTCAAATATTTTAGAACATCAGTTAATAACTGTTTTTTTTTTTATTTATGAGATGGACCGACAAATGAGCCAATGGACCACTTGATCGTGAGCAATCGGCCATGCCCATGATGACCCGCAAAAGGCAGCAAGGAAAGCAGACGGATTAACTGATGGTAAACATCAATGCAGCCCAGGGAAAAGGAGTTATTAGTGCGTCGCCAACTTTTTGGGAATTACGGTTTAGTTAGGGGATTTAGGAATTGGAGAAAGATTGGGCCTTCAGTAACCTCACTCACATTGCGAAACACAGCGTAGCTGACCTTTTGAGCGTAGTTGAATTAGGTTAGTTTTAAGGATTTGTGATTAGAATAGAAGTAAAATGACGTAATATAAAGACAACACCAAAGTAGGATACATCAACTGCAACTAACATAAGTGGTATAAATATTAAATACACTGTTCAAAAAAGTTTTACTCTGGTAAGACGAGCTCCCAAACTTTGCCTGCCGTCTCCACCGAAATGGAACGCACTTGTACCTATTTGCTTAGTACAGTTGCATTGCTTGCATTTATACTCGAAACTGTACCTTAATGACGTCACTATACACACTGAACATGCATGTTTCGCTATTCATTAGAAACTTTGCTTCATATTCAGTTTATGAAGTAGTAGAACTACTGCTTTTGCTTGTGAGTTAGGACAGTCCAGAATTAATTTTAATACTATACTTTTAATTGTACTGGTTTCAAATGATGATCGCCGATTATCATAGCATTTGTTCAGTTTCACGTCACGCAAAATTCTGGTTTTTCCCTCAATAGTAACTCAATACCATCGTAGTGATGGTGCGCGTAGTTATGGTGCAAATGAGCGTTAAACTGTGCAGCAGTATTTAAGTAACCAATGCGACACCCTGCTCACCCGCAACTTCGGAGATTATTGTTGCGATTTTATGGTGTATTATTTTGCAAGTACCAACATTAAATTATGTCATATAGGTACTTACCTATATTAAAAAAAATATACTATTGAACAAGTAAAAACTAAATCTTAAAAAATAATTTATTTTTAACTTATCACTATATTTAACATATCACTATTTAATTATATTTTAGTATTATAATATTCTTATCTATCTCTTTTCTTTTATTTTCCCCTGGACTGATCACTAGAACCCTAAGATATTTTGTCATAATGCAGATTAAGATGCTCTAATTACTAGCAACTAGTAGATAGTATGTGTTGCATTCGTCCGTGCGTCACTGCAGGGTGCCGACTGAAAATCAGTGTTGGGTGCTCCGTGCCCAGCTTTTGCTGAGTTGGCGACCCATTCGGATTGGGCATGTCCGCCAACCCAGGGTTGTATTATTGTAATTTGTTAGGCTGTTGTCACGTTATTGTTTTGATTAATTTTATTTTTATTTTATTTTGTTGTCCTGTTACTTCAAACTTTTATTGTTTTGTTTTTTTTATTGTTGTATTTTTTTTGTTTGTTCTTGGCCTTCATGTCTCGGTCCGAATAAAAACAGTTTTCTTTCTTACAAATGTATGGGTTTATTGAAAACAAGGACTTACTCATGTGTGGTGTCTACACTTAGAAATTATCTACTAGTTTCAAGCCACACAGAGACTTTTATTCATGAGCAGCGTGCGCGTCGCGGTGACGTCACGCAGCCAGCTGACAGCAGTCCTGGTAAAGGTTTTCTCAACTAAATCACGTGAGTTTTTTTATGTAAAGGTCGGCAAACGAGCAGGCGGATTACCTGATGGTAAGCAATCAGCGCCGTCCATGGACACTCGCAACGGAGGAGTTACGAGTGCGTTGCCGACCTTTTAGGGATTAGGGATTTGGAGATTTAGGGATTGAGGAGGGATTGGGGGAGGGGAAGGATTGGGCCTCCGGTAACCTCAGTCACACGGCGAAATACAACGCTGTGGTTGTTTCATGCCGGTTTTCTGTGAGGCCGTGGTATCACTCCGATCGAGCCGACCCATTCGTGCCGAAGCATGGTTCTCCCACACTTGCATGGCTCTCCCACACTTAGTTAGTTGTTATTTTCAGTTAATTAAGTATGCCTCACGATAGTTACTATTCCCATGAACTTTTTGCGGGTGGCCCTGCTAAAAATATTGTATTTTGTGCACTAAAGAATGGTCTACTAAATTTGTAAAAAAATGATTGTGTATTTCTTGCTTTCAGCTATTGTCCCGAAAAGCGAATTTCACAATGGGAAAATTTAATGAGAAAATTTTCTGATTCTCGAAAAGTACAAAGCAAGTAAGTACAACTGTAAATAAACCTTAGAGAAAACGTCATGCAGTCTACATAACAACTTCTGGTAGTAAATCAAAGTTTTTATTTATACCATCATTTGTCATTACTTGTGATACTTAACTTTAATCGTACCTATTTAATTCTGAAGCATCATAATTATACAAGGCATTTAGGAAGTTAGAAAGGTATCTTTTTGTTATTTGAAATCTCCACATATTTTTTGCAACGCTCAGGGCAGCTCCTGTGGACATTTCTCAAGCTGGTCTTTCTACAAAGACTTTCCCTACATCTTCACGATATGAAGGTTCTTGGGGCATTCTCGGTATGAGTGGATATGGAAAATACACCTTTCCAAATGGTATGAAATCATTTATTAATTTCACACTTTATGAAGCTGGGCTTCCTTGTAAAGAAAGGCATTCTCTACCAGTCAACCGTTATGGCAATGCAGAGAAGTTAAGGGGCATTACATAATGTTTGATGTAGATGTGGTGGTGGCCCGGAGGTTAAGGAGCCCACTTCTCTTGCATGAGGGTGTACCAATGTGACTTTTTCTGAGTTATATGTACTTTCTATGATTATTTAGAGACCACTGACATACGGTGAAAGTAAACATTGTGAGGAAACCTAGACTTTATAATTGCTAATTATAAGTTTGAAATCGCCAACCCGCATTGAGCAAGCGTGGTGATTAATGCTCTAACCTTCTCCGTGTGAGAGGAGGTCTTTGCTCAGCAGTGGGCACTTATAGGCTGATGATGATGATGACATAATGTTTTGCACAGGGCAAATATAAGTTTCTTTTTAGAACTCTGTGCTACTATACATATTAATTGGAGTTTACGGGTACGAAACCAATAATGTATCGCGGTCCCTGCCTGGAGTGGGAGAAGGAATAAGGCTCTCAGCATTAAGTAATTTAAGGATTCCCACCTCGAGAAAATAAACAAAAATAAACGGTGTAACTAAACTTATTGACAAGTTCAATCAAGTTCAGAGCAATATTTTTGGTAAAAAACTCAACGCACATAATCGAACCAACCTAAAATGTAACCAAAATAGTGAAACCGATTGGAAAATTAACCATATGGATATTTTTACTCATTATTCTCTAAAGGAATCTCTCTGGAACGAGCAAATTGCTTCACTGTAGGACTGCCAATTTTTATAATTAATCATTTGGTTTGTGAGTACCTTTAATGGTCGAATTGAAAATAAATTATATGATTTTGACTTTCACTTCAATAACATCGGTGTAAGTATTAAGGTTGATAATTGCTTGACGGGGTTTTTGTGCAATGAAATGCGTGTTTACTTGATGATGACTTTAATGCGACTAAACAAATGGCACATTACCTACATCTTCAGAATTACAAAAAACATTCTGTATAAACATAGAAAAACTTGTAGCTTTTTAAACAAATCTAACAAACGTTTTAGATACTCTACAAGATTATAGCAACATTTCGCACATTAGAGTAATTCTTTTCACATTTTCCATAGGAGTCACATATGTAGGTGAGTTTGATGATGGAGAGTTTCATGGCAAAGGCGAGATGCAATACAAAGACGGCATGGTGTTGCGAGGCAGGTGGGAAAATGGGGTCATGGTCGAAAGAACTCTGCTATTCGGCGATAGCCTGCAGTATGATGAAAAAGATTGGAAATACTGCAAAATGCCTGATAGAAGGTAAAATTTAAAAGTTTCCTTTTTTTAACGCCTATTTAACTGACGTGAAATAATTACAGCGTTGTGTTTCACCGTGTGAGTGAGGTTACCCTTACTCCTTCTCCCCCCATCCCTTTCCCATCCTTAAATATCCGAAACCCTTAAACCTTAAAGACTGGCAACGCACAAGTTACTCCTTTGGTGTTGCGTGTGTACTGTACATGGATGGCGCTGCTTGCTTACGATCAGGTAATCCATCGCGTAAAAAAATGTTTATTGATTAATTCATCAAACCCCAAGCGAACGCACCTATTATTCTCCTATTGTGTCTCGAATTATCACGATTGAAAGGTTAAGATTTTTAACTAACACCTTTTAATTTTAATTAAGTAGTTTCCAACTAGTTTCAATACTTTTTCTGAAATGTCAATAACTACCACTTTATGATGAATTTTCTTTGAAATAACACGTTGTGACGTCATAATTTTATACGTTAAATAGCATGTTTTTATCTGGAATTATCAAAAAAATACCAATACCTACTAAGTATATCGTTTTATTTTTGTAATGTTATATGTTGAAATAATTTGTTTTTGGTTGAGAAAACTACCTTATGTTTTAGCTTAATTTAGTTTTAAGTTTACCCAAAAATATTTCAGCTGTGGGTATAAAACATTCCAGTCCACGACAAACCACTAATTAGCCTTTACTAATTTAACGTGTGCAAAACGGTCTGAGTAGAAAATTTAAATTGAAATTAAATTTTTAATTTGCGACCCAACTTTAGCAGACAAATTACGAAGTTTTGGGATCAAATTCTAAAAGTAACCACAGATATTACGAAATCATTTCTGTTTGTAATCGAAATGAGGTTTTAACATTTTTGACTTAAAGTAACATTAAATGTGGCTGTAAAGATAAGTTACCATTAGACTAACAGATGAGATCCATTTTTTTCTATAGGCAACCCAATTAACGAATTTAAAAGCAATGTTCGTTGTTCCAAATTTGAAATTAGTTTAATTCTGCAACTCTAATTAATCTTGTAACATCATCGTTTGTAAACGTTAGGTTTTATAGACTATTAGACTAGCTTTTGTTATTTTTTTATCTATGTTCTTCATGGTATTGGCACGGAGGAGATTCACACCTCACTTCCCGTACATCTTAAGGTGGAGCCTAGTGGTATAGCCTGTCACAAGTGAGGGCTGCGGAAGAATTTGGAAAATCTATGAGAGACGGGACACCAAGTTTGGTTTTTAGTCAGTAAAAGTCTGACAATTCATCTCCCCAAGCAAAGAGGCGCCACGAGGAATTTTGACAAAAAAAAAGCATTGAACATTTTTCTAGCTTTGAAAGACTTTTTTATTATTAATGACTTTTCATTATTAAATTTAGGACATATCGGCTATAATACCAATGTCTCGTAAAAGCTAGCAAAGGTAATAAAGAAAGCAAATAATATTTTTTACGCTCACAGATTTGCAATAGAATACGAGTGTGGAATAAAGCCTGCTGGCGATTCGTTTTTAACGGCTGAACAGCCCACCAGAAAGATACCTCCCGGCCATTATGACACTGGAGACGGCTTCTATGATTCTAAGACAAAGATGATATACAAATATGATGAAGAAGGAGCAATTTTGAGGTAAGTCCTACAGAACTACATTTTTATGCTATTCTAGCTTTTATTGCAACTTTTACAAGTTTGTGTTTCCTATGCAGAGCATCTCTCATCTCTCTCTCATTTATGTCTAATTTCTCTATACAAAACAAGAACGTGAAGTGTAAATAACTGATAAGTAAACAAATTACTTTCATCATCATCATCACTATGATCATCAGCCTATAAGTGGCCACTGCTGAGCAAAGGCCTCTTCTCACACGAAGAAGCTTTAAACATTAATCACCACGCTCACAAAAGTCAGATTGGCGAATTCACTTACAATTAGAAATAATATGTGAGTGGTATCTAAATAATCTTGGAAAGTACATATATTATAACTCGGAAAAGTCATATTGCTACTTGCCAGATTTCGAACCCTTTAGCATAAGAAACGGACGACTTTAACTTACTTTCGCATTTATATTATTAGTTGGAATAAAGATGAACCTAAAAGCTTCTTGCTAAATTAAATTAACAACAAAAATAAAACAGATCAGTCTAAACCCAGAGTGCAACGACCAAGTTATTGCTTGTCGTAACCACAATTCAGTAAAACTACTAATCATATTGACGTCTAGCAAATTGCACTACAATCATTTTCCAATTATTCGCGTCGTACTTCAAAACGTGGGCACGACTTCGGACTGTGATGACGTCACTAGCAGTCGTGACCATTTTCCTTTTCATGGGATGTAATGATTGGTAGTATCCTTGAACTTTCTAAATTCCTTAAAGACTTAGTCCAGCCAAATAAGCCAGTTCAACTGGAGTGATAACACAACTTCACAGAAAACCGGCGAGAAATATCGCAATAGGATGATACCTCACATCAATTTAAAGAAAATTGAGCATGACATTGTGCTCAACCCAAAATTATCAATTTTGGCGATAGAAACATAAATAATGATTTTATTCAAATAAATCGCATCACTGCTTACAAGCAATCGACAAAAAATATTGACATAATAAGTTACTAGAATGCTTAATAACCCGGGAGGATAATCTTAAGGTTTTTCGGAGAAGCACACTCTTGGGTTATGTACCTCTGTGTGATAATGGTTAACGAAGGTCCAATCCTTTTCAGAACTTACTTCATTTCCCATCTCCATTTTCAAAATGCTAGCAACGCACTTGTAACTTTTCGATGATCAGAAGGATCTCTTTTGTATACCCGACATACAGTGTAAAAATGACCCTGTTTGAACTATGAATGGACCCATATTTTTATTGAGCACGGTATTCGAATTTCAAATGGGTCTACTTGCACAGCGTGAGGCGATAGGGAGTTTCCAGACTCTTACTGACCAAAAACCATGCCGTTTCTTTTTTTGCTTCATGCCGGGGCCGCTGTACCTTCAAATGATTGTACCGTGAAGTGTTAAAACTAAAGCTCCATTGCACATCTTACAACTGGAACGTATTGACCATGAATTAATCTGTAGATACGAAAAAAAACACATTTAATTTTATTAGCTATATTGATTTCCTACCAACTAAAAAAAACAATTTGGCATAAGTAGTATGAAACAAAAATGAATCACAAACGAACTGAATTTAAAAAAAGTTCAATTATATCATACGAAGTGGATGATACCCATGCATTTAATTAGTCAGCCATCGAAACTTAGATTAATTGGTGCACTAATTGACTTACTGATTGACAACCCTCGGCGTTCAACATGCTTAAAAACAGCTCACACTTGTCGGTAAAATAAAATGACAGTTATAAACATTTTTACCTACAAATAAAATTATAATCAGTGCGTATGTAGAACAATGTCGCTTTCTCTGTGCCTATATCCTTATGCATGCTTAAATCTTTAAAACTACGAAACTAATTTTGATACGATTTTTTTAATAGAGTAATTGTATCTAGTGAAATTATTATCAGAATTACACCAGTGCGAAGCCTGGGCGGACTGCTATTACAGTGTAGTACCAATAATGAAGAACTCTTGTAAAAGCTTTAATTTTATTTACGTGTGGGAGGAAGTTAAGTGTGGGAGAGCGAAGCTTCGGCACGAATGGGTCGGCTCGACCGCAGTGATACCACGGCCTCACAGAATACCGGCGTGAAACAACCCACAGCGTTGTGTTTCGCCGTGTGAGTGACGTAACCGGAGGCCCAATCCCTCCCCTTCCCCTAACCGTTCCCAATCCTTATATACGCAACCCCTATCCCCAAAAGGCCGGCAACGCACTCGTAACTCCTTTGGTGTTGCGGGTGTCCATGGGCGGCGCCGATTGCTTACTATCAGGTAATTCGTTTGCCGACTTACCCATAAAAAAAATGTACACAATGTCTGCTTGATGTTTTTCAGACATAAATTGTAAAATATTCTAAACCTTAAAAGTAATATCTTATAATATTATAACTATCGGATTTGTAAAAAGATTGATTAGTAATAATAATAATAGTGGAAACGATTTTTTATTTTATCCACGTAGTGAAATCACGAAGAGTTTTAATTTCCATATAAAGCTTAAAACTAATGGTTTTTCCTAAAATAAAATATTATTAACTGATTTGTATTATTTGTCTTTAGGCTACAATTTCCTGGATTTTTATATTGTATTTTAACATCCATCAAATAACCAATTATTATAAATACATTTACGTAAGCATTTTTAGTTTATTTAATAAATAAGCGTGATACTACATTCTTAATTGTATTACTCATAAGTAAACTGAATAGACGATGAACATAGATAAAAAAAAATGTAAGTCTCTTAACTGCGTGGTAAAGGCACAGTGGAAGAAAAATATCTGGACAAAAATATTTATAATAAATCTGTATAGAAATCAATTTTGTACATGAAATATATTTTCAAAATAGCTATCAGGGGGTGATAAGTGATAGATTGTGATGGCAAAAATGTAATGAATTTAGTTTTATTTTGTTCTGTTGTTTATTAAGCTGGGTAAGTAGCATATTTAATTATATTGTATTTAAAGTATAAGTGGAAAAATAGGTATCTACTAAGGATATTAAAATAATACCACACCTAAAAACATATTCTATGTAAACAAAAGCACTTCAACCAAACAACCCTTTCGACGACATCGCGTTAAGCTTAAAAACGCCAAGTATAATGAAAACAAAAGAAACTACTAGTCATGCTCTACGCGTTACCAGAGGAGAAACCTTTTAATGCAATATTAATTAAATACGCTACTTATCCACTGTAATAGACACTATAATAGACATAACTAGTCCTACTTAACCTAACCAGCAGTGCTATTCTGAAAGTTCATTTTGTAAGCTGTGGGGGAGCTATGCTTCGGCACGAATGGGCCAGCTCGACCAATGTGATAAAACAGCCTCACAGAATACCGGCCTATAACAACGCAAGCATTATTTTCATCGGGGACTGAATTTACTGGAGGTCCAATCCTTTCCCTCCCTTTCCAAGACAATTCCCAATTTTCCTGTACGGAAATCCCTAGTACCGTAACTCCTTGAGTTTTGCGAGTGTCTTACTAACATAAAAAAATCCATGGTGAAATCAAACTTTAGTATTCTTAAAATATGTTACTTTAACACTTACATGATATATTAGCTGTTAGGCGTTGCCATTTTTAATTTGGTTGTTTAATGACGTTGCTTGCGGTATACCTTTCGAAATTAATTTCTCATTTTCAGAATAACACTGCAATGTATGAAAACAAAGCATAAGCAACTACTTAGCTCCACTTTCCACGGTTTCCACTAGGTATCATCTTGGGGCCAATTTTTTCGTGAAAATGTGAAGAGAGTAATCTAGCGGCCATGTCGTATGCCTCGTTTAGTATGTCCTGGGGCATATTACAGGCCACCTCTGTGACTGTGTGAACTCTAAATAGGATATAATTAGCTTTACCTCGACACTGGAGAATCTAGTAGGATGGCCTAATATTTTTTAACGAGACTATAACATTTGTGGATTTTATGCATTACTAATATTTATTTTGCTCCTACATGAGCACTATCCCGATAGAGGTAGATGATACGCTTAAAGTCATATTTTGCCAAGAACAATTCGTAACCGAAATTGAATTGATAATTTTATCAAATAACGCCTATAGCCGGTCATGAGCAAAGACGTGTGTTAGCAATGTTTTATTGTACATCGCATTGCATCGATAATTTTTTGAAAAATCTCATTCGAATTTTGCATAAACATTACATTTCAACTTAATCTAGCAACTCATTACTAATCGTAGGAAGAATGAGAGACAATGTGGAACAGGTATTTTCTTGATGTGGGAAAATCATTGAATGAAATCTCTGGACCTGGACGTTGCGAGATTGAGTGTCAAACCCTTACTGACTAAAATCCACCCCGTTCTTTCACCAGCTCTCGCAATACAGCATTCCGCTTGCACCCACACTCCTAGCTGGGCAAACAGGCTTTTAGACTTAGTTCTTTCTTCATGAGCAAACCAACATATTCTGGACCAATAATTTTAATTCCTTGCAGAGTTCCGTCACTTGACGAGCAAAATTGGATTGAAAGCAATTGTCGTGTGAATCCAGAAGAGCCTTTGGGTCCTCGTCCAGACTTGTATGAAACATTCACTCCACCAGTGGTGCAACCAGAGCCGCATCCACCACCAGCGGCTGGCGTGAACCTCATGATGAACGGAAACAGGACACGATCGATGTACTCGTATGACCAAGACGTTACATCGGTAAGTACTTTATATAACACCAATTTTTTTTTGAGAGTAGGAAATTCGTTCATTGACTTCTTGGAGCGAGAGAGAGTGTCAGACTCTTGCTGACTAAAAACCACCCTGTGACTTCTCCTGCTCCAGGCGGAGGCCGAGGTACATTGTTGCCCTTGACCCACAGCTCCGGCTATTATGACACTAGATGAAGATGACCCAAGAAATTCTGTACGTACCGCCTCAAAAACTTAAATAATAATATTAGTTTTTTTTCCATATCTAAAATCTTATAACTCTTTGTATAGGAAGGGAAAGACATTTTTATTTTTACACGCAAATTTTAACCGACTTCTTTCTGGAATGTTATTAGTTAATCGATCCCAAAATTAGCCAAATCGGTTCAGTCGTAGAGAGACATTTATGTCACAGGATAAATTTACTATTTTGAATCTTACAACTACTTTCTTTTTATTTCAGAACCGCAATGCATTCAAATTTCCATAACGTCGGGTTTTTTCCAGCTATAGCTACGAATCTCCTCATGTTCACACCAAAAATACTTTACTTTTATTAAAATTTTAATTTTATTAATAAACATTTGATACGTAATATATATGATACTAATACGTAGTTCTAAACACAATAAATTTTACGTTTTAAAGTTATACAACTGTTCATTTTAGAAGTTAGATCTAAGTATGTCTGTGTTGGTAGTATATTACACAAGAAAAAAATTCCGAAATTTTTTACGCCCATTCTAACTGTGTTTGGATTGACTTACTAGATATACAATTTTGTCACATTTTATAAAGAGCTCCTCTCAAAATAATAAGTTGTGGTGTCTCGCAGGTTAAAGCTCCCGCTCCTCGTATATGTATGAAGGTGCTGGTTTTAGAAATCTGTCAAGTACCAATATGACTTTTCTGAGTTATATGTAGCCGAGTGTGGAACCAGCGCGATATGGTACCATGGGCTCGGTCTGGAGCAGGAGAAGAAACGAGGGGCTTTGAGTCACTAAGAGTTTCACCCTCCAAGTTTAACACTCCAAATAAAATATACTATCACTTGTAAACAAATTTAAACATAGATAAATTGTTGAAAAATTCTTTTGAAAGATAAAACTTAAAAAGTAAAATAAAATACAAGTCAAATGAAACAGTATGAACACTGTTTTATATTTTTCAACATAAGTAGCAAAGGGAAGAAATCGCATGAATTGCAAATTATAACTATTTTTTTAAACAGTCTATACAGACATCATTGCAGAAATCTTTATTTTTTTTTTTTGAGGAGGGAAAGTCATCCGTTGACTTCTCTCGCCTAGATTATGGCGAGAGGGTCTGTCAGACTCTTACCGGCTAAAAACTGCCGTTCCTTCTCCTGTTCTAGTCCGAGGTCTTGGTATCTATGCTTGCCCTGCAAACCCAGATTGCGGGAAAACTAAGTTTAAGAATGGACGTTTGTGGATAGAGATAATTAGATCACTAATGACAATGTTAATGTTGACAGTGTTGTTGTTATTGTATTGGGCCCATAGTCCCTTTAATATTTACGTTGTAGGAATAGTCGTTGCAATTTCGCCACACAACTTTGTGTGTCAAAGAGATTGTTAAAAACAAAATCAAATCAATATCAAAGATTATACCTTAAAACTGTACCTTTTTTCCGGGATATTTTTTTTTTTGATAATACAGGATTATATAAATAATAAAAAACTCTGTATGAATAATTATTGGCTGGATACATATAGGTCTATGATTGACTGCATTTAATTTAAGAACACAATTTCTAATGACATGTAAACTTCCATCAACAATGTAACTTTGACAAAAGGGACGAAGAGTAATAATTGTGATTTTTCTATTTTTTATGCAAAAAAAAGATTTGATCGACTTTCGATTTGATAAATAGATCATGTGAAACGGTTTGTGTTTTTTTATTTTTAGAATTTACTTTAATTGTTCTTGTTTTGGAACACATTAAACGTCTGAGGTAAGTCAACAAAGTTATGTAAACAAAGGTAAACATGACTATTTATAGTTTCAGGACGTTTTTGAACTTAAATTTACAAACAAAACCGTTCAAAAAACGTTCTTGTTCTTCGTAGACTCTACATAGTATTTCTTAACATACAGTCGTTGAATAATGGTATAAAAAACGCCAAATGGCAATTTAGTCGATTATGGATAAAAGTATCGACCCCAGTCAAGCCATCAAAATGTTTTTTTCAGAAGTCCTTAAATACATCGACCAATATTTGATAAAGCTAACTTATTTTATTTCAGGTGTGTTTTATACATAAAATAACTATGGGAACTAGGTAATTAAAAAAATACATTTTTATTTTTAACGATTTTGTCATCCAATAACACTTGTACTTTGACTTCAATATTTATACTACAATATGTTTAGCAAAGTTACCGTAGCTCGCTTCGGATCATAGTTACGTACGTACGTTCGTAAGAAAGAAACCCCTATATAGGTATTTCTCATTATAAAATTTCTTTCAGCAATAAACGAGGTTCACAATGGCAGGAACTTATGCAGAGTTTTTGTGAAAAACGAAAAGAGACCTGCCGGTAAATAATATGTATATGACAATTTTTTTGCAAATACATACATGATCGTACATGGCATCCAGTCACGAAGGTTTGAGCATTCATCAACAGGCATGTTCATAGCAGATTGGCGATTTCCAACTCATATAATAAGTCTTAGTTTTCCACGAACGTTTTCATCACCATTTGTCAGAAAAACACTTAACATATTATACCCATACCGTTGTTGGCGGATCAGCAATGCGTTTAGTTACTAATGGTTAAAATATAGTTGAAGTTTGTATAACGATATCAGAATCTGAGTTAGACCTAACTTAGGATCCATTACCCTACTACAAGGTATTGCCTTCCTTCGGGGATCGAGAAATGATCTCCGACCACCGTAAGCGCGGGTCTGCGGACGGTGAGTAAGGGTAGCTCGCCGCCCGACCAGAACTAGACCCGAGCGTACGGCGCGTAGTGTTCCGTGCGCGCCTCAAAGAGCCAATAGACCACCACAGACGGGGCCCCATAGGGCTGATGTTTAGCCGGGGTTGCGGGGTAAGCGCAATGAGGCTCCGCGACCTCGGCCCAGAGCAGGAGAAGGAACAGGGGGGTGTTTAGTCAGTAAGAGTCTGACACTCCTTCCCGCCCGACCATGGGCAGGAGAAGACATTTGACGATTTTCCCCTCAAAAAAAAATAAAAGATTGCCTTCCTTTAATATGCTTCTAAGGCATGTAATAAAACAAAGTATAATTTGGCAGATAGAGGTAAATGAACAGATGTACCTAAACACAAGCCAAGAAGTATTGTTTCTTGTTTCACGTTGCAGTCCAAAGAGGTGTCAGTGCGATCGAGGCTGTCCATTCCTCCACAAACAATTCTTCCACGACCATTCTTATTGCTGTTTAAATCTACCAACATATTCTTACTGCTAATGTAACTACTACTTAACACGATATTTTCCACAGTGCGTCATCTATCGAAGCACCCGTCACCAAATCTGTTACTAAGCAATTCAAAACAAAGTCAAAGTATAAAGGCGGGTGGGGACCATTAGGTATGACTGGCTATGGCGAATACACGTTCCCTAATGGTAAATAGTATTTACAGCTAATTATTAAAACAATGATCAAATCAAATTCTTTATTTCAAGTAGACCACAACAGGCACTTTTGAACGTCAAGCAAAAAAAAATCATAGGTTTTAACTTTATACGTGTTCGTCTGTCCGTGTCCTCTAGTGAAGCTCGTTCCAAAGTGTAGATGATATTAAATCTGTGTAGGTAATCTGTTATTTTTTATACATATTATAAGACGGTAAATGAGTAGACGTATAACGTAATGGTAAGCAATCAGCGCCGCCCATAGACACCCGCAACAACGGAGTAGTTACGAATAACTTGCCAAAGTTGAGAGGATTAGGGATTTGGAGCTCCTCCTCTAGATTAGCGGAACCATTGGACCTCCGGCCGGTACTCTCACTCACACAGCAAAACACAATGCTATGGTTGCTTCACGCTAGTCGAGCTGACCCATTCCTGCCGAAGCATGACTCTCCCACACTTAGCTTACAGTAACTTCAAATAAGTAGAAGCATACATATTATGTATGTGTAATGGACTAAATAGCTGATCTCAAAAATCCGTGTGCCAAGCTCCACCAATGATTTTGGTCCAGATAGAAAATAAGGTACTAGTCTTTCCTTTTTCTTTTTTCTTCATGCCAGGTCACATTTACATTTGACATGCTCCTGACGTCACTAGCTTTAGTACAAGGAGTGACCAAAACCCTTGAGCTTATACCATCTGATTTGCAATCTCATTGAAGTCATATTTTAGGGGTTGTGTACAAAGGAGAGTTTAAAGAAGGCACATTCCATGGCGTCGGCGAATTGATATACACTACGCATCAAGATAAAGGCTGCTCCATCATACGCGGTATATGGGAGAACGGTGTCATGAAGTCGAGGACATTGCGCTTTTCTGACACCCTTGAGTATGACGAATATAAATGGAAGTATTGCGTTCCACCTGATAGAAGGTAATTTCGTTGGATACTTACTCAGTACTCAATAACTTTATTGCTTTACCATAACTTATATTAAGGTGGTAACAATCAGTGGGAGATCAATTATGGATATAGACAGCAAAATATGGTAAAAGGAGAGAGGAAGCTCTGTTTCAATGTCTTAAAATTACACTTACCTAATATTCATTTTGTCAGTCTTTGGCGAAATTTTGCCGATGTCAATTTCGTCTATTTTAAACTAAATTAAATGTCGAGTACCAATCAGCAGTTCATAAACAAAATAGACTTTATTCAAATGAATCAAAGGTATCAAGTGCAGGGTTATTTTCCGTTACTTTTTGTTTAAAACAACGTTTCGAACAAGACCGAAGTTTCAAGGCTAGAAACCCAAAAGTTGGACCAACCCTCAGGAACATTTTCCAAATTGAATGTGAAATTAGATTATTATCGTAAGATTCGTTAAACCCTGCATTGCCTGTGGATTTACCTAACATTTCTGTATAAACAGAGATGCCAAATGTTCATAAAGGCACTAAGAAGAGTTTAAGTATCATTTAACTGCTTTTTGCAAACTTCGTTGTTTTAAAACAGGAGTAGGCAAAGGCGATATAGCGGGTATATTCATTTGCCTCATTTTTAACAAACCGATGTTTTATCTGGACACAATAAGGCAAAGAAAAGATTCATTTTTTATCCGACTTCCAAAAGGAGCAGGTTGCTAATTTTGACCCTATTTATGTTTGTTTTTAATTTTAATATGTCTCTTTAACATCCCTGTTGATAATTACAACCTTGCTTAAAAAATCGTACAGATGATCATTGTTCAAATACTAAAACGCCAGCGTCGCCTTGCGCTTACAATAATAGGTAGGTATAATATCCGGTACCATAAACAATATCGTTTCTTAATCTCATTTTATAGGAAACTTTTTTTACATTTTGCAACATTTTTCATACACTAAGCAAACAATGTGGATCCAGAATTACATCTCATCCCGTTCGGTACGAACAAAATGGCGGCAATGAATTGCGCGCCAAAAACATTTCCCGCGCATTTTTTGCTTAACTCACGCTAATCGCCCATCATAATGATTTGTTTTACTTATACGGATTTTTGCCTCGAAAAGACCGTTTATTCTAATGAGGATAAATGATGAAACAGCCTTTTTCGCAGCGTTTTTTAAATTTTGTATCCGCAACGCGATGCGTGAGTAAGCGGGGATAGGCATTATGTGGAATTATCTTATGCTGGAAGTTAAAAATATACGTGAATTTGAAAAGAAAGGTATTTTTACTTTCAGGTTAGGTACGTTTGAAGTATTTTTCCTACTGCTTATTGGGCTAAAGCTGTTTTGTTAGCTAAAGAGGTTTTTTTTGTATTTTTAAAACAAAACCACTACGCATTGACCATGTAGAGACCTTAGTTAATACGTAACATTTAAGGTGTTTACTAAATACTAGATCTGAGAGTATTTTTTCAGTACATAAACGTTGCGATTTTTTCACCCGAAAGTGATGTTGAGTTTTTGAGAGTTCATAAATTTTTTTTTTTTTTGAAATATTTTTTACGGATTAGTAACATTAGCCAGATCAGCTACTTATTAACAAAAATGACTAATGCACTCATTTGTTCTTACAGGTTTGATATAGAATACCAAACAAGCATCCAGCCGGCTGGCAAGTCTTATCTGACGGCGCAACAGCCCACTAACGAAATACCTCCCGGCTACTACGATACTGGGGATGGACTGTACAGTCCTAACACAAAAGTTGTTTACAATTACCATGATCTTACTTCCATAAAAAGGTAACAAATTTTACTTATCAAGGAAACATGGTATTTTGAAGAGAAACGCAGACTTATGCCCCAAATTGTTAACCGATCTCAATTCTACTATCCTAGTAGGTAATATTATACTTAATTGTGAACGTTTGTGAGAATATGCATGTTTATATCTTCTTTTACGCAAAAACGGATAGATAGTGATAGATAGATAGAAAGATTAATTTGTACCTATGTTAATCTTATTTTATCTTGAATTTTGTGTTATTTTAAATTTCAATTTTGAATGAAGAAGGTTTGGTATCTATTATAATGAATGACCAACTGACGTTGGTCAAAAGCTAGTACCTAAATAAAATGAATTGTGGAATACTATTTATGATTCGTAGTCTGCACTCGAAAAACGGATAGTAGTTCGTATAGCACGAATATTCGTTAAATATAGGAACAGGACATATTAAAATTATATAAGAAACCAATATTGGTCTAATGTGAGATAGTTACTGCTTAAAATTAAAATTAACAATTTTTGTAAAAATTTTACCGGCTCAATATACGAATCGGATACACCACTTGTTCACAGGGCTACGTCTGAACAAGAGCAGCGATGGATAGTAGAGAATTGTCGATTCGCAGATCTAGGACCATTGGGTCCCCGGCCTGACATGTACGAGACCTATCAACAGCCAACAGACCTTCTGACCCCTCCACCGCCGCCACCGACCACCAGCATTCCTAAAATAATAAGCTCCCAATTCGATATGGAATATGTATGTTTATTTTTGAAAGTATTTTAGGGCAATACTAGCTAGCCTGTTAAGGACTTATACTCTGTTTCTTTAAAGGATTTTCAAATCAAGTAACACATGATTCTGATGTATTCAGCCGGGGTTGCGGGGTAAGCGCAATGAATCACGGCGACCTCGGCCCAGAGCAGGAGAAGGAACAGGGGGGGTTTTAGTCAGTAAGAGTCTGAAAGTCTCTCTCGCCTTACCCTGGGCAGAGAAGTAATTTGATGATTTTCCACTGACAAAAAAAATGGTGCGGTTTCGATAGCTAGCAACTACCGTTATGTGTATCTAGGTACTTTCTATGACTATTACACCACTGACATACAGTGAAGTCACATTTAGTACTTGCAGGTCGTAGAAACCGCGCCCTCATGCATGTGAAGCGGGCGCCTTAACCTCCGGCCACCATTGGGCCAAGCCGACCCATTCGTGCCGAAACATAGCTTTCTCACATTAGTACCTACCTACATACTCTGACTTCACTATCGAACGATGATATACCTACTTATTGTTTTTTTTTCTTGCAGCATACGCCCGAAAAGGACTTCTACGATCCATCGAAATTCAGTTCACCGTCCACGCAAAAATTGGATCAAAAATTGCCATCCAATCATAATTTAAAAAAATAAACAATTCTATTTTATTAATTGGACACCAAATTTACCTAAATTTGTTCTTAAAACTAAGCTTATTTTCAGACTAACTTTGTTAATCATTTTAAGACAAAAAACGAATCATATTTTTTTGTTATTTATGACTTTTTATTTCTGGTTTTATGTAAAGGGTTATAAACTATTCAGAGAGCAACAAGAATATTTAAAATATGTGAACAAATTGTAAAACATTGATTATACACTCTTTGAGGTAGTGCAATGAAGACAGGTGGACATATTACCTATTTGATGCCTGATAGTACAGTTTCGGACTAGTAATCAACCTTTTTTTAATAAAATTGAGGATCATATCACATAGCTCAGCTCAACAAATACCTACCCAGTACCTATCAAATCTAAAAACAGATTACAGTCAGTAAGAGTCCGACATCCCTGTCTCGCCTCACCCGGGACGAGAGAAGCAATTCGACGATTTAATTTGATAATTCCGCCCTCAAAATAATGGTATTTAAATCTATTTAAATAGGTACAATTTTGGATATCAAAAAGCTAGAATCCTTTCATCAGCCCGAGAAGTTAACTCGATACTTCATGATCTGCATTTATGCTTGGGGCCACCGCTTATTTACCTCACTAACGCCTATATTATATAGAATCTACTTGGACTACATTCTAGGGTTACAGGCGTCACGAGGTCGTGACCATAGCATCGTGACAGCATCACAATCCTACATTATTCTGTGAAAAAGATAATTAAGTACACGAAAGCGACTCACGGCTATAAAGACCTTATTCCTTTTATAGAAAAATTAAAATCCAATTTGCATTCTGGAGCATTTGAACGGAATTGCTGGTAGTAATTTACGCTCAAGTATCTACTTGAAGCTTTCGATTTAAGAGTAGTTAGCTAGTTATTTATTTAGGTACCTGAATGTTGAATTCATATAAAATGTACAATGCTTTCCCATCCCGCCGTCCCTCCCCAAACCATAAATAGCCGAAACTCTAATTACCAAAAGGCGGGTAACGCACTCGTAACTTGTTTGGTGTTGCAGTTGCTATGGTCGGCGCCGATTGCTTACCATCAAGTAATTCTTCTGCTGGTTTTGCAGCGTTGATCGTGGGATTAGGTACAGTAGATAATTATGAAATACTTTACTAACGATGTAAGTACGGAATCAGTAGTTGTAGGTACATAGACTTACGGATCAAGACGGACAAGACTTGCTGTTTTATGCAATGAGAGCACACCAACATTTTTAGAGACATCCTCATTAGCAACCATGGCCAAATAATGCGAGTCCTAACACGGTCCACAAAACATTCATTTTGTTGTTGTAAACTTTTAATACCTACCTAACTATAATTATTATCAAGAATTGTTTGGTGCTATAGAATTGCATGCTACATTGACTGCTTACCATAAGACGATGTGTAAGCTTTGCTATTATATTAATGGTATTAATTTATAATTTATTTGAAATATTAGCTTTAAATATTAAAAACAAATCATATTAATTTAATTACTTATCATGCCTATCTAAGAAAATGTTGTACTACAGAAATATCTGTAGAACATTTTCTCCGTGAATCGAAACGTACTGCGATGACATTTGTGACAAAATGATTCAGTGCTGCCAAAACAAATATTTATTGTTATTTTTAACAACGGCACAAATAAATGTTGTAATTGAAATACAATAAAACAAATATATTTATTTGATGGCCAAAGACTTTTAGAATACATTTTAATATTTGTATGTAGTGAAAAGGAGTTATTCAATATAATATTTTGTATAATACGACTTCTAAAGTGGCAATACCTCAGAAAAAAACAAACCTGAATGAAGCATGGACAAAACGCAGTATTTGTGGTTATAGCTATATACTTCTTGGCATGGACGTCGTGTCTTTTTCGCTGAAATGTTCAAAATAGATCGATAATATTTTTCTGCAAAAACGTAATGAATATATGAGTGCAGTATCTCTTATAGTTCGCTAGTCAAGTAAAAACCTTAATTGTTAATTCAATTTCATTCCGTTGGAAGTAAGGGTTTTTGTAAAGTAGTGTTAATATTTTAAGAGGCTGTGAAAAAATATTGTGAAAGTGACCGTAATATGACCACAAGATGAAGTGCCACTATGAAGTATTGTGTGTACCGAAGGAAGCATCTGCCTCCGAAATAAAGAAAGCCTACCGGAGGCTTGCGCTGCAATGGCACCCTGACAAAAATTTAGAGAATTTGGTCGAAGCAAAAGAGCAGTTTCAGCTCGTGCAGAATGCATATGAAGTGCTTTCTGACCCTCAAGAAAGAGCCTGGTGAGTCTAATAGCATCTTGAAATTATTACCATTAATTTGTAAAAGTATTTGTGATTACCCAACAACTGCAATCAATGTTAACTTCCAATCTGTTTCAATTTCAGGTATGACAATCACAGAGAGCAGCTATTGCGTGGAGCTGGCAGCTCATACAATGATGACAGCCTAGATGTTTACCCTTACTTTAGTCCGTCCTGTTATAAAGGTTTTGGTGACGATCCACAAGGGTTCTATGGAGTTTACAATGAGGTAAAAATATAATTATTGCACAAGATTACTTAGTCTAAAAACGCTTAGATTATATTTTAACATTGTTTGTTATGAATTTTCAAGGTATTCTCCAAATTGATATCTGAAGAAACAGATTTCCTTGATGATCCTGAGGATGTGTCAAAAATTCCCACATTTGGTAACTCAACCACACCATATGAAGAAGTACATGAGTTCTATGCTTATTGGATGGCATTCTCAACTAATAAAAGTAAATATTATTTCTTTTTTCAGCAAATTAGAAAACATTCTTATTTCATTATTAAAAATCTTATTGTATTCATGAAAAAGTAAACAATAATATCTAATACCTACTTATGTATGTATTTTATAATATTTCCAGGTTATGTATGGTTGGACCAGTATGAAATATCACAGGGAGATAACAGAAGAGTGATAAAGTTAATGGAAAAAGAAAATAATAAAATTAGGCAGAAAGCTCGCAAAGAGAGAAATGAGGAGATCAGAAGACTTGTCAGCTTTGTACGTAGGAAGGATAAAAGAGTAATAGAGCATACAAAATTATTGCAAGAAAAAGCTGAGGAAAATAAAAGAAAGGTCTGTTATATTTTGTCTATTTTTGTAGGAAACCAATTAATGAAGTGGTGGGTTTAAGATACTACATTTACCAATGGTTCTTTTTCCAATTGTTGTCAATGTGTTGTTGTGATTTAAAACCTTGTTATGAGTGTGGTATATTTAGATTTCTTAATATTATTGTTAGTGTTTTTAAGTATCTTAAAATTGAAGGACAAGTGAATATTTTTTGATACTTCATAATTTTTTTTTTTTTCACTTTACTTAGTATACAAATGAGGTTAATTTATGATTTTAATATATTTTTTCTGCTTTCCACAGGCTGAACAAGTTAGGAGAGAAAGAATAATACAGAGGCAGAAAGAAATAGAAGAAGCAAAGAAGAAAGAAGGTGAAAGCTCTTTCTTACAGAGTGAAGACTATCAAAAGAAGTTAAGCGAGATTGAGTCACTTCTAGCGGAAGAGTTTGGTTTGTCTTCTGATGATGACACCATCAGTGAAGGTGGAATGGAAAGTAGTAATGAGGAAAGTTCTAAGACTGAAGAGGTATGTTATGGTTTGTTATATATATATATCATAATTAAATGTATATTATCTACATAACATTATGTTTGTTATCTAGATAAATACTAATGTGACATATAGATTAGTTTCAGTCCTATCCAATATACATTAGTTTTATTTAGAACCGTTATAATGACTGCTAAAACACAAAGTGAATTGAGACCAAAATTCAATGGTTGTAGACGATCAATCACTAATAAAGAACATTCTTTATTAGTGATCGATGTTGTAGACTTAAAAAAAAGTAATCTAACTAGGTGCCAAGTTCAGTGATCAGTTCTGATATGTATTTTACAACACAACATAACCTGATATAATTTGAGTTATAAGGAGGTTCAAGGCAGGTCCAAATAGCTTGTGTGACATATCACGATGCTGCTCGCCAGTTCTCTAACTTGATACGTTTTACAGATGGCACATCTAGATATTGATCAAAAATTATAGAAATTTGTGATACTATAGAAAAACCACTACCCAATCTCTGATTTATGACAATAAAACTAACTTAACTTAACTTTTGCAGTGCATTGTCATTACCTACAGGTTTTAAGATATTCGTTACAAAAGGTGCCACATGTTATAAGAAATAGATACAAAATCTCTTCTTTGTTGGTGTTATTTTAATACTCAATTTCTTAAATTTCAGGTGAGCGAAGCATCAAAGGCTACAGCTAAATCTTCAACGAAAAACAAACCAGCTATGAGAAATCTATACTGCTCTGCTTGCAACAAACTATTTAAAAACATTAAATCTTTTGAGAATCACGAGAAGAGTAAGAAACACAAAGAAAATGTAGCTAATATGACATTTGATGATGATTTAGAAATATCAGATAATGAGAATGAGGATGAACTTGATGAACAGGAAATTGAAACAAAGGAGGAACAAGTGGATGATGGTAAAGTCAATGGTGATGGGAAGGAAGAAGGAGGAAATGTAGGAAACTCTACTTCAGATATTGAAGATAATGATGATAATGATTTGAGAGAGACACTAAGTGATGATTCTGATAAAGTACAGGTATGTATGCTAATTTATGCGAAGTATTTTTTAGAGGTGTGCATGTTTTATATCAACACTCAACAAATGACTCAAATGTTAAAGACAATCTTGTCAAAAATAAATTAATTTGATGTTTCAATACAATAAAATATTGAAAAAACAACTAACATTGATTGATCAATACACCAAATTTTAGATATTTTAAGTAATTTTAAAGAAATAAGAAGGCTATTTAGAGCAAAAATACTATAGCGTCATAACTCAGTATTTCATACAAATTTCAAAGAAAAGTACTTATTGTTTTTAACATATTGAATTTGTCTTATTGGAAACTACTGTATTAATAGAAATATAGATATTTTTTTATACATTAACTGTTTTAAACTCGAAAAATATTATTATTTTATTATTTTAGGCTTTACCCAAGAGTCATAAAAAGAAGAAAAACAAAAAGAAGTTTATACCCATGCCTGAAAGTGAAGGCAATGACAGTCATGATGAAATGAGTTTTAATGAAATTGAAGGTCCAGCACGCAGCAGAAAGGCTAAGAAATTCAACATGCTAAAGAGTCAAATACAGGCTAAAAAGGAAGCTAATCTGAAGAAAGGTTCTCAGTCACAAACTTCAACAGAAAATCTGTATGAAGTATCTAGTACTACTCCTACAGATGATGCCTTAGGTGAAGCAGCCTTACCAAAGGATAGGCCTGCTTTACCCAAGACACAGAGGAATATCAAACCAAAGAAAACTGTAGAAAGAAAACCAGTTAGGACCAAAACTAGTGAAACAGAAGATTCAAGCACTGCATTAACACTTAGATGTGCAGTCTGTGAGACAGACTTCCCATCAAAGAATAAACTATTTGAACATTTAAAAAAAACAGGCCACTCTGTACCTCTTCCTCAGACTAGCTTCACACCACAAACTAAGAAAGGTAAAAGAGCCAATAGGTAAACATGTGCAATTTAGATAGGATGGAAGTATTAACTAATCATTGAGAATCAATTGATTTTCTTTAAAATCTCGTTGTAAAAGTGACTTTATCAATCTATTTATTAAAATTATGATCACTGTCAATAAAGATATGCCTAAATGATTTTAAATTTTATTCTAGTCAACCCAAATAAAATCTCCAGGTAGTTGCAATGTTTTGTATTTTAAATATTACAACAGATAAACATGAATACTTTTTATAGCAAAGCTACTTATAACCTAAAATTATAATTAAAATCACATTTAAATAGACATAGATACATAGACTTAAAATAAGTACACAATAGAATGTAATACAATAAGCCAGTGTTCCCCAAATTCATATTTTATATACTTACATGTATTTCTTTAGTGACTTAGTTGTAAGAAAAAACATTTACTTTTAAACATGTAAGTCACAAGGAGGCAGTGTGAAAATAATCAGAAATGGACATGGAAGATCAATCTTTAGGAAACACTGCAGTCCAATTATGTTTACATTAATGTTTTAGTAATAAAATTGCACATTTATTATAGTACATAAGTAGGTGCTTATGGACATTAATCAACATTGAATAAATTAATCACTGTACCACAGATACTACAAGGAAAACAACCTATAAACAGGTGGAAACAGATCTAATGAACAACACATTGTCTCTATTTCACATTAAAACAAAACTATTCAAACTCTGGAATGTCAGAGAAACTATAACCAGGATACTCCTTATATGCATAATATGCTATTCTTATGTGGTATGCCCCTGGCAGGAACATTATACAGCCTAAAACTATCATAGGCCACAGTCGGTCAGAGTACTTAGTGTCTATGTGCCCGGTTACAATTAAACTCCCTGCAATAAGTAGTGCTGTACCCACAACAAACAGGAATGCCGCTAAAGATATTGCTTTCCATGGTATTTTGGGCGGTGGAACCTCAAATTGTGCGTCGGAGAAGCCGCTGTCGTCATTAGATACTAGACGATACCCATCATGTTGGCGTCCAAAGCGGAATCTGGACATTTTCAAGGTCTTCAGTTGCTCTGTACATAAAAAAAATATTTTAATGATACATATTAGAAAAAACTTACATGCATTCACACTTAAATATTAGTTGCTATTGAAATGATGTCGACATATCAATGGTATTTGAACTTTCTTGAAAAACAATTTAGTGTTGTTATTACATACATAAATAGGTTTAGACACCAATCAAAACGTCCAAGGTGAAGTTAATACAAAGGGTTCTAAGTTACGTAAATTAGTCAGATGTATTTGAGTCTTTTATATGAATAACAACGTTAATTTACAATAATTATTTATTGATAATAAATACCAATATCGACCATAATAATTGACAGTGACAGCCAGCAGCAACCTGACATAAAAGAAGCGAACCAAACAATAAAATGTCACTTTGTACCACAGACTAATTTAATTTTGTAGCCAGTCGCTCCGACCGGATATAATTTATTTCGCCAGAATTCCAGCTTTAAACAGTTTTTACTTTAATTCAAAAACCCATTAGCAGAATCTTGATTTAAATATTTAATCATAATTATATTACATATCGAAGAACAACCAACTTTCCTTTTCAATGCTTACCTTTAATTTGTTGCAAAAACAGTGTCATTTATTTCGGGGAATCTTTTAGCTAAAAGACACGATAATCCGTAAAACTCCAGAAATATGACTATAATTAGATGTTGTTAAGCTAGGAGTCCATCCAGCGCCGTACCGTTTATGCTACTTAATCTGAAAACAGAACCAACCGCCATCTGTAACAAAAGTGATACATTTTATTAATTTCAGAGAGATACGTGTGTAAACTTTTAGCTTAGTCGGTTTTATTAAATTGTCGAGAGGTTCATGAGATTGTATATGGATTTAATGATTATCAATTCATGTTATGTCTTGGAACCATGAGACAGGTACAAACAAACCGTACGGCATTGAGGTCGTCCCTAATAATCGAGAATTGACATGACATATTTAATGTAACAGGTACAGAGGTATTTAAGAGTAAATAATCAAATGCATAACATGACTTTTGTGAATTAAAGGGCAGATTATGAATAGAATAATATTCTATGTATTAAGTATATTATACATTTTCAAAAAAATGTAGCCCTTCTATTATGCTTTCAACTTCAAGCGCTTCCCCTGAAGCAAGTTCTGAGTTGAGGGGAAAAAATCAGAAGTTCTATCAAAATATAGGTAGTAGATAAGTAACCTATAACTACAGCGCAGTTTATCTTCTATAATTATATCTAGTATTTATCTAATTAGTTATTTTATTGTTGTTTATTCCAATTGCGTGTAGTCGCAATGCTAAAATTCCCAATTAGCCAAGTAAACATTTTTCAAGCCTAACACGTACATACTCAGAATTTGTGCTTGCTATAGGTAAGACCATAGGCACACCCAAACTTACAATGCAACTCGGGAAAAGTAAGTCTGCGTGAACTAAAACGTGTGATATAAATGTGTTCACTAGGTTTTGGTCGCGATTCATCCGTGTATAACTTTCAGTCAGGATTAAGATTTTTAAATTATCACCTTCTGTTCTAGATATGACTATTTAGTCGTTAGTTTTATAGTTTTCCTCTGTTCCTTTTTTTGTAGTTTGTCCCGGGATCTTAACATAATTCCCGTCCCTGTCGGCATTCACTGATATTTTCCGAATAAATAGACATAAGTACTTGTCCCTTCTCGGGTCTCAATGAACAGTGGTTGAGTGATTTAGAAGATACAGAATCAAGGTGATTTATCCATTTCCCGTTCCTGGAAAATTTACACGATATAAACTAAACTAATATGTTAAGCTATTTACGTGTAAAGAAGAGTCAGACTCTCTGTCTGACTCTTCTTTACACCTAATTTTTATAGGTTTAGGAACTTATGAAATCTCCGTTTCCTTATTAAAATACTTGAAGATAAAAACTGCCCTACATCAAATTACTCCGCAAACTTAAAATAAATTAACGAATTTTCAGGCTTTGGTTACTGGACGCTGCAGTGGCTTTTAATTACGTTAGAACAAAACTTACTTAAAAAGAAAAAATAACTAAACGTAATAACTTACTCCCAAATTTGGCAACGCTCGGAAAAACTTCGCAGACGTTTCGTTCGCAAAATAAAATCATGAATAAAATGTCTGACCTATTTTCTTTTGAAATGAACTAGGTATTTAGTTAAAATAGTTAATTTACAATACGAAAAAATAATTGTCCCTATGTGATGGGAGTCTAGAAGCAGGTCATATTCAGCAATAGACCTTAATAAGCGAATGATATTGATAAATGATAATGTGCCGTGGTGGCCCGGAGGTTAAGACGCCCGCTTCTCATCCATGAAGTAGCTGTTCGAAACCTGACAAGTAAGTACTGATATGACTTTTTCCGAGTTAAGTGTGTAAGTACTTTCTATGATTATTTAGATTACACTGACAAAAACATTTGTGAGGAAACCCCCGCCTTAAGCAAGCGTGGTGAATAATGCTCAAACCTTCTCCATGTAAGAAGAGGTCTTTGCTCAGCAGTGGGCACTTATAGGCAGATGTTGATGAATGATAAATAAATACCTAATACTACAAATTACTTCAAACGAGCGACAAATTAATTATCTACGCTTTGCTAACACATGCTTCCCTCGTACAACTGCTCAGGCGTTTAATAGGCAGCTACTAGCTTTGGCCCTCGACTTAGCTCGCATGATAAAGGTCACAGTTCTAACCTGACCTGACTTCTCGTAGTAGGCGTGTCCTATAAGTATTTTTTAGGCATTCATTACCGCGCTAAGATTTGGCAGTCATAAGTCCTAGTGATAATTATTTTAACATCAGAACAACATTCACGTTGCTTTTTTAGCGTCCGTGAACACTTGCAATGCGTTCAAAATAGTTACGAGTGCCTTTCCAGTTAGCCTTTTGGCGATTGGGGATTGTTTTTTTGTAACCTCACTCATGCGTCACTCCATGGCGTAAAGTTGAACACATGAATGCAGGTCGGCAAACGAGCAGACGGATTACCTGATGGTAAACCATTGGCGCTGACACTCGTTATATCAAAGCTTTTTGTCAGGGGAAAATCACCCAATGACTTCTCCCGCCCAGGGTAAGGCGAGAGAGAGTGTCAGACTCTTGCCTAAAAACCCCCCGTTCCTTCATCTTAATATCAAAGCTGTTACTACAAGCACTTTGCCGGCCTCTTTTTGGTTGTTAGGGATATATGGATAGGGGATTTGAGGATGTGGTAAGGATTGGGTTAACTGTAACCTCACTCAAACGGCGCAACACAACGTAAGTGTAGCTTCACGCCGGTGTGCAGGCCGTGGTATCACTCCGTCGAGTCGGCCCATTTCGTGGGCGAATTAAACTTTAAATCTTCTTTAATAAAGTAGGTAAGTAATAAGTCTACGAATTTATCTGGGTACTTTAAGCCTTTACGCAAAGCTATCTGCATTTTGATAGAAGTCCTCTGTTCTTGATTTTGTTTCCAGGTCAACGAATCTAGTCTGACCCCTATTCGAAATGCCAAATGAAATTGGCACGACACCCAACCATAAAATATTGGTCAAAATTCTTCAATTCCTTATTCGATAACAATTTTCAGTACGAAAGCTTTGAAAAAGTAAGGTATGATTTTTTTACCGTCAATTACGTATTCAGCACGCCCAAGTGATTTCATTCGGGCTCCAATTTCGCTAGTAGGTAGTAATGGAGAACTAATTTTCAGCCCACGTACAATACTACCCACATCGATCGCTAAACTAATCACCAATTTTCTCTAAATATCAATTAATTAATGAAACGTTATTTAATACGCAATTGAAGTTAAAATATCACGGTTATTGTAGCAACAGCTACGCCGTAGGCACTGGGCAGAATGACTACGAAAAATCGTAGCTGTTGTTTGTTACGCGTACGGCATCATTGGCGTTCGTAGCAGACATTGCGTAACTAGTACATGGTAGAAAGAAATCTGTCATCGTTTATGATTTTTATGTAAAAAAAAAATCACACCTTTTGATTCATCGTGGGCGTAGGCAGAGGTGGGCGTAACTAATGCAAGCCCCATGTTACACAATAAGAATCCCATGCAATAGGATTTAGTTAAGCCATTTTCCCAAACTTGGGACACGTTTCCTAAGTCCTCCATTTTCGAAGTAAAAAAAACTATTACTTTTTGTCCGAAACAGGAAGCAGCCTAGCAACTACATATAGGTAGATACGTAAAAGAGTATTTTTAACCCCCGACGCAAAAAGAGGGGTGTTATAAATTTGACGGTCTTGTCTGTCTGTCTATCTGTCTGTCTGTCTGTGGCATCCTGGAGCCTGAACAGGTGAAGCGATTTCAATTTAGTTTTTTTTTTGTTTTAAAGGTGACTTACGTACAAGTGTTCTTAGACATGTTTGACGAAAATCGGTTGAGCCGTTTAGAAGATATGGGGGGTAAGTGGCGAAGGGTAACCGAAGGTCTGCAAATATACTCGATGGGGTCTCAAATGAAAGCGCACTGAAAGGGAATGTTGATGACTTAATCGAAAATTTGAAAATCGAAAATCGAAAACTGAAATTAAATGATATAAAAAGTATAAAATAAAAAAATAAATTAGACCCCGACAAAATATAAATATGTAAGTAGTTTATAATAAAATGTATAGATCGGTCCCCAACGCCACGTTTTCTTTTCATTATTACTTTTTAAAGGAATATTAGATTTTTTGTTGGGGGTTTTCTAAATTTTAAATTTATAATTATATTTATTTAACTTATAACTAACATATAACGAATAGTCAAAAGTTTTTTTTAAGACCAAGATTCAAATTCTATTCTATAAATGAACATCCCCACAATGCTGAGTCACGCACAGGTTACTTAGGGGTCGCATTTATTATCATTGCATTGCACAATAAATTTAATATACAAACATAACACGATCGTGCTCAATCAGCATGTTCCCATATTACAAATAACTGCAATAAAAAAAATATCGGTCATTCTAATTTTGAATCTGGCAATATCCACAAATGTTGTAAGTAGAATAATAATAGAAAAGTTTGTTAGTAAATTAATGTTTGGCCAACCACTTACTAGTTGAATTTTCAAAAAAAAACAAATTAGACTCAATTTCTAATTAGGAAAAAAGACTTTCCATAATTATTTGCGTCAACTGTGCACTAGCTCGAAAAATAACTGACTAAATAAATGAGTTAGGCAGTCAACTCAATTATTAAAATATTTGGTGTAACCATTTGAAAATCGAAATATATAAGAGAGTTTCCAACTAGTCCAATTCTTATTTTTTTTTCAGAAATGTCTATAACTTCAATTTCCTATGAATTTACTCTGGAATTGTCTAAGAACTACAAGTACTTATTAAAAATACAACCATACATTGTAAAATTAAAGAATGAAGGTGTAACTTTTATTTCATTATTTTATATTTTTATTAGTTGAAATAATTTCTATTTGACTCAATAACTTGACACATGTTTCTTTTCATTACCCAAGGGTAAGAATGTCTATGGCATAAAGCCTTTGTAACATTATGTAACATAAAGATTAAACTAATATAGAACTCCACGTTTGACCTCACACATAAATTATTATTATTCTAGCTTTACCATCAACAAATAACAATAGAGGGATATTTTATCTACTGTTATTCGGACGAGGGGTTGCTCGTTTACGTTGCTCGTGTACTAGTTGGGTATGCGTCACGCTTGTGGAGGAGACTGCGGATTTGTGCAATATCCTTGACCTGTGCCACTAGCCGCAGCGAACACATACTCCATTGCTGGTAAAATACCCTCCAGTTATGTGTCAGTACTTTACAGACCATGTTGTAAAGATCTTTAACTAGATCTAGATATAAACTGGTTCAGTTTCCTCCCCTGAAGGTGAGTCCGAAGTTGTTTCTGATCTAAGTTTATTTTTATGTAAGTATGTAATTTGGGACGTTCTCTGCTTTTTAATTATTGTTTCATAGCTATTAGGTAAGTCGGGCGAAACCGTAAGCTGGTTGAACCATCGTTTTGTTAGTAGGTGTATAGTGGGAATTTATACTCGTAATTTTATGACGAAATTAATTTGGATTCGTACTTTTTTATTTTTATCCCAAAATAAAATAAAAAATTTACCTACTTATATTAATTTGGATTTTTCATAAATAATCTAAATTAATTATTTTATTACACATATCCACCATTTTCATCGACTTTGATTTTTTTCACTATCTTTAATTAATTTACACAATAGGTACTGCAACATTAAGGTAATGCTAATGCCAATAGGTCGTGGTACGCATAGCACCCACTTCACCAGTCATGTAACAATGCATTATAGCCACAGAAAAAATGTAAGAATATTTAACGACCTTAAAATGCATCGGACCTTCTATTATACTACCCTATCTAGTCATTTTGCTCTCTTGGTTGGCACGACACATTTAAATTGCGTCAAAAAGCCTTTATTACGGAGTATTACATTAATATTTTATACAACAGTATTTTTCAGCTTGTTCTTCGATAAATGACTCCTTTAAATATTTCCGCATATGCTTATCTGTAACAATTCTCAACCATTCTGGTTCAGCAGGTCTCTTTGGGTCATCTTCACAGAGTTTTTATTGTCGCCCTTTGTTTCATTTCACATCTCTAGGGTTGGTATCTGCATTTTTACTTTGATATTAATTTTCATCCAGTTGCTATTCCTCTCTCTTAGCATATGCATTGCTTTTTGTTATTCTAATCCAAACTATCCAAATCCAAATCTAAACTACCTATTATAAATGCGAAAGTAACTCTGTCTGTCTGTCTGTCTTTTCTTCACGCATAAACGACTGAACCGATTTCTGCGCAGTTTGGTACAGACATAGTTTGGAACTCGAGAAAGGAGATAGGATAGTTTTTATACCAAAAATATACAGGAAGTCACTATTCCACGCGAACGGAGTCGGGGGTAAGCTAGTATTTACATAATTTTCCTATATTTAAACTGACTGTAAAAGGAAAATGAATGTTAAAAATTCTCCTTGATGAAAATGTTGGTAAGTAGGTCAGCTGCTGCTATGTTTTACACCTAGATTATTATTATACCGAACATAAACAAGTAAGGCGATACATTAAAAGGTAGTAAAACAGAGTTTTCTTGTCTATGGATCAGCTACAAAGGTAAACAATAACGGCATCTTTTGTAAAATCATTTCGCTAGGTTGTTATATAAAGGTTACCTAATCATATGATCAATAAGTTTGAATTCACTTATATACTATATCTATATCTTTTTCGAAAGCATGTTTATTTTAAACTTATTTAAGTAATTGGTACTTATCGTTACCTGTGTATTTATCTTAATTTTAATTCAGTTTTTGTCTGTTTTTCTCATAAAAGTACTTAAGATAACAAACAAAACACTGGCGCCTCAAAGTTTGGTTGAAAACGAATTAAACTTTTATAATGCTAGTCATAATAACGGCTATAAATAATTTACATTAATTGTTTCGGTAATATAATTATAGATAACTAGCTACTTCTGCGCAGTTTCACTCGCTTCTCGGCTTCTATTATTTCGTGACAATTTATAACCTTCCCCGACAAATAGACCATTTGACAAAATTTCAAGACGTTACGAGTTCACAGAAACCCTTCAGATTCATTCTATTAAACATATAGTAAGAAATTAATAATTACAAAATATCGCTATTAACATATTAATAGATGAACATACATGCATACATAGCCTGTCAAAATCATAACCCTCCTTTTGCTTTGTCGTAGTCGGGTAAAAAAAAAAAATATTATAATTAACTAACTTCCTACCTAAATAATAAGTTTTATGTTATAGGGCGGCAAACGAGCAGACGGATTACCTGATGTTAAGCAATCAGCGCCTTCCATGGACACCCACAACAACGGAGGAGTTACAATTGCGGAGATTTTGGGATTGAGCGAGGGGAAGGATTGGGTCTCCAGTAGCCTCACTCACAAGGCGAAACGCAACGCTGTACTACTCATTTTCCATGTAGAGCAATAGATTTTCTGAAAATATTCTTAATAAATTCACAAGATCGATTTCAAAATTTCATGTCTCATTTAGTTTGTAGCAATGCAGATATGGCGCGTAGCGTTCATACGCGTAAACACTACGATAGGTAATGTGTTACATGTAGGTCGGTACCAATATTGTTTTGATATTTCTTTTTGATTTATGCTACCCTAGTACAAATTTATGAGAAGGTTCACACAACCCATTTAATTCTAAATTAAGCTTATGTATTAAGTAAATTGCCACTAAGCATAAGAATGCTGAATACCTGAGTTATTTTGATGGTTTGGAATCTAATTAGAAATTAAAAAATGATCCGCTCCGGTTGATTCTAAACTCCCTACTATTTAATGAAACAATGAATTTATTTTTGCAAATAGGCCATAAAACGGCACTTTTACACGTCAAATTATATGAGAGATCAAATTATACTAGATGAAGCCGGAATAATGGATGATATCCAAACTATCCAAACTAATTCAAACTAATATTATAAATGCGAAAGTAACTCTGTCTGTCTGTCTTTTCTCTACGCCTAAACTACAGAACCTATTTGTGTTAATTTTGGTACAGACATAGTTTGGAACTCGAGAAAGGACATAGGATAGTTTTTTAACCAAAAATGTGCAGGAAGTCACTTTTCCACGCGAACAAAGCTGTGGGCAAAAACTAGTTATACTCAACCTATTAAGTAAACCTACTAAGAATTCAGTTTCTTAGTTATAAAAATTTAAGCGTACATAAGGATAATATAGAGACACAGAAAGCGGCATTGTTTTATACTATGTAGTTTTAATACCTAAGTTATGTTTCTAAATATATTTCATACCGACATTACTAATGGTCTGTCTGCCCTTAAAAACAGTTTTACATGACATAAACACAGACACTGTTGTCAGTTATGCCACTCCTATAAACACAATATCGCGAATTATATGAACCATGAAGGATGGCTACATTCAACCTCTGTTGATCTCTTCATACACGGTTCATTCAATGCCTTGTATAAACATCTGTTATCGAAATAAAAAAAAGTATTTTATTTTTTTTATCTATGGCGATTTTTTTTTCTTATACATCTAAGTTGATCGTATCTAATTGTGACGCGAAAATGGCGCGTGCTTAGTAACAGGGTGGGTGTCCGCCATTGCTGGAGCCGCGCCAAAACATAGAATAACAGTTAGTGTTCGCGCCCAGCGGTGAAAGTGCCGCCAATCGATACTACCCACCGATAACTTGATACAAACAGCTGATCTTAACAATTACACCTACTACCTATACGACACCGTCAAATCACTTATTTGTAACTCAATCTGCATACAATAATGAATTAAACCCACTTATTAACTTGTTACACATAAGAAATATGAAAAAGACACGAATAGAAAAAGTCTAATTCTTCAAAATGTTCATCAAACGTCAAAGCTTTTGTTGATGTAGCTCCTCGCTACGAATACACCTTGTTACAAGGTCTTGGTTCATTCATTGTACTTACAAAACGATAACAAAGGTACAAACCGTTGTTGTAATACACAATAAGTAAATAATATAGGTCAAAACCGAAGATTATAAAAAATATGTATAATGCTCACCTCGATATGTAGGTAAGGCGGCAGCGCGCCAGTATAGCACATGTAGTGGCGCTGCGTGTTGGTGTATTTAGTTTAATCGCTTGCGGCGGACGAGCACGCATGCGCGGTGGTGCAGGCGCGCGCACCCTCGCCGGCTCTGACAGCGCGGCCCACTCCGCCGGCAAACCGACCTCGAGGCACACGCGCGCCCATCGCTCGCTACGCGCAGCAACGCCGGCCCCTCGCGGCCAGGAGCCCTCCTTGGCGCTTCCATCACCCTTACACTCGACACTACACCACCGGGGGCTTACCGCCACGGACGCCGGCGTTCGCACACAGGGCTCGCCGGATAAAAGGTATACCTTTCATTATGTGTTTGCAATGACATGTCCGCCCCGGATCCGCTATTCATTTGCGGTACAATACCATATTTAATTGTTTGCCGGCAAGCAAAAAACATCCGCTGCCAGTTGAACACCTGGGGAGTTGCTGCATTATGACAAAAGAGTGCGAACGCGATACGAATACCGTTCCTCTTTTGTCAGCTGCCGTATGTTGGTGTTGGCGATAATCCTCTAATTTTGTCGCGTAAGGCAAACTCATTACGGCTTCAACTGGAAGCTAGAATCTGCATTATTATTTCTAAGTACTGTATGTACTAAATACATCTTCGGGTTTATCATACTTTTGCGTCTGCGGCAATCCAATCCACGATACCTGTCAGTTACATACTTCGTGATTCCGAACTCAAAATCGCGTGTGCTAAGATGACTTGATCATCCTCAAAATCACTATATTATTCGTCATTATTGTCTACTAATTTTGAAATCATTTCAAATGACTTCGGTATACTGCAGTAGTTTGACATTGTGACTAGGTACAGCGTAAAAGGAAAGACTTGATCGTCGATCTAGATTAATACGCAAAGGCTACCTAATACTAAGACAGTAGACGTTTTACTAGGCCCTCGTTCGGTATCCTGCAGCAATAAAATTTTCAACAAACCACGAGGTTGTCGTGTTACTCGTGTTGTCGTCGCTATTTCGTAATACCGTACGTCGAATCCGACGAAACATTCTCATTTTGATGGCTTTTCTTTCAAACCATTTTATTGTAATTTTTATGTCATTATCAGTTTTATGCGGAACTTTTGTGGGTTGGTACTTAAACTCCATTGCTTAATCATTTTTGATACACACATACTTACAATGGAAATTTTGTTTTTGATTATAATAGGATTCGATTTATTGTCCCTTTGAGGCACGGTAATAGTTTGTTTTTTATTGTAATCTCTATGGTTGTATCATGTGCCGTAGGTGCGTTTAAAAACATACAAATTCACATACACAAGTTTTCCAGACAAGAAACCACAATTTTTTGATCACAATAAGTGTTGTTCCCTGCGGGAATCTAACACGAGGCACGATGCATAGCAGCCAGTTGCCTAGCCACTGCGCCAACCGTGTATTCATACAAACGTACGTTTAATAATCCCTTTGTAATGTTTTTTTTATCGATTCTTTGACTGGCAGCTTATACATACATACATACATGTACATTTAATACGTATCCATTAAAATATTTGTATAAAAAAGAGGCTAACTGTCGAAACCTACCTCAACAGCGCTCCCATTGAGTGAAGCGCAATTGACGTGTTCCGAGCTGCTTACTGAAGCTTTTATACACAAAAAGGCGAAAACAAAATTATTTTACAAAGACTTTGTTAGTCCATTGAAGTGTACTTTAAATACGAGTAAAATACGGTCGCTTTTCGAGTGATCGTCGGGGCATTGTTAATAAAAAAAAGAATATGCTAATCCGGCGTTTGTTACTTATGTCTTTTTTCCATTAAGGTTTTTGAAAGCTTCTGTTCGGACCGTCCTTCAATAAGTCACCCTTGCGCAAGGGGAATTGATAACAAAGTAGTGTTATCATCTCCCCTCTCTGCGTTACTAAGTAGGAACAGATTTGTCACGGTACTTGATTAAAAATGCTTAAAAGATAATAATAAGAGTCTATTTTTTTTAATTGGGGTTCAAATGGGGTAAAAATGAGAAATTCGCAAATAATATTTCGAAATACATATCAGTTGCAGCCATACAAGCCGTAACAAAGATGAAAACCCGGTAATAAATTAGCAGTCGCAATTTAAATAATGAATAAGAGTCTCTTGAATGTGTCTGTCTCTTTTATAGTTTTTTGAGTCTCAGTCTCATACAATACAATAGCTTTTTTTACAAGTAATAAAATAAACTAAAATTTTTTGGCATAACAAAGACAATACTAAATATGACCATAATTATCCCTATTAAAAATACAAATGGGAAAGACTAGAAAATGAACAAAAGCGAGGACTCTATCAGCTTAGCTAATTAACCTTGTGACGTTGCAGTTATATTGCCTTGAGAACCGCAACTATGTCGATGCACATGTAACCACTTTGTATGACTGTCCGTCACGACAGTTGCTGGATCATTGTGACATTGTGACATTCATGACATGCACTGATTTTAATATAAACTGTCCCTATAAATCATTTGGATTTGGCACGCAGGAGATCACCCTACTGACACAATTCGTTTTGTTTCTGTAGGTTGGTACTTGCCAAATTCGTATACGAAGTTAATGTACACCAATAAGTATATTACGCGTTTTATTTTCACGATCTCTATTTAAAAATTATATCTAAGTATATAAGAATTTACATGTAGATATTAAAGTTGATTGCCCTAAAATAATCACCTATCAACTATACGCAATAAAAAAGTAAAAAACAAGTAATCACGTCAGTTATAAAAAAAAAATTTGAATTTTGTTCCATAGAATTAAATTACTCTATTCTAGTGATTTCGTATATATATTATATGTATACATATTATATATGTAAATATTTATTAACAAAAGTAACGATTTCATAGATCTCATTGAAATTACTCTTTATCTCAAAATAAAATCAATAAATAATTGTTACAGAAAATACTTTTTTTTTTAATAATCAGGTTACTAAAGATTTAAAATGATCCAAAAGCTCTAAATTGATTTTCATTTTGGTCAGAGACTACCTTAACATTTTTGTTTAATTTTTTAATTTGATTTCAAAATGATTCTGTATTTAAAATTTCAGAATGACATTAGTGTTTAAAATATAGGAATTTGTCCGCGACCAAGTAGGTAGACGTGTGTAATGATGCGGAATAATATAATACCCAAAATTGAATAAAATATCATTTTTTTTATTGGTATCTTGCTTTGTATGTTGAAGGTTTTATACAGAACAAAAAGTGAAGACTACTTTATAATTTAAATAGTACCTTTGATGGTAGTACCTGCGTAAAGTTCTTAAACATTTTCTCAAAGGAGTTTGCTCTTCCACTTCCTCTTCCGTTCTTCAACTACAGGATGCGGTGAAGGTTACGATACTGTTGTGTAGTTTCGCAAAATCGTGTTCCGAACAAAAACGGTAATCATATTCGAATTTTAAATTATTTGGGTATATTTTTATGTGCTTTCTACAATATTTATTTCTTTAATTTATAAGAAACTAGCTCTTACCCGCGGCGTCGCTCCCGTCATTTGACTACCTACTCTACTCTACTTACCCTACCTACCCTTCTCTACTCTACCTACCCTACTGTTCCTACCCTACTCTACCTACCCTACTCTATCTACCCTACTCTACCTACCCTACTCTACCTACTCTACTCTTCCTACCCTACTCTACCTACCCTACTCTATCTACCCTACTCTACCTACCCTACTCTACCTACTCTACTCTTCCTACCCTAGTCTACCTACCCTACTCTACCTACCCTACTCTACCTACCCTAATCTACCTACCCTACTCTACCTATCCTACTCTACCTACCCTACTCTACCTATCCCACTCTACCTAACCTACTTTACCTACTCTATCCTATCCTATGTCCTTCTCCTGGCTCTAAACTACCTCCCTGCCAATTTTCAGCTAAATCGGTTCAGCTGTTCTTGAGTTATAAGTGGTGTAACTAACACGACTTTCTTTTATATATAGACTAACGTTTACTCATTCATTTTAAATTACTGGTTACCTGAGTAAGGTATTAAAAATCCCTTTTTAATTACTTAATAAAAACATGGATTCAAAAAAATTAAATACGTTTCGGTACTCAGTATACCTAAAAATTCTTTACTAATCTTTACTTTGAATGAATACTAATTTTTTATAGTTTAGTAGTAATTTTTTAAGTTGTAATTAACGCCTGTCGGTTTCTAATTGGATCTTTCGGATTCTAATAAACTACTAAATAAAAAAATATAAAGCATTCCCGCTAAAAGTATGTCGAGCGCCACCTACCTAATGTAAGACGGAATGGCAAGACCATTTCCATGTCATTTGTCTAACAGCTCCAAAGTACTGGCGGTATTTAAGACTAATGTCTTGCTTGCGGTAAAAGCGTGATAGAGTGCCACCGCTTCCACACTTCCTTAAGACAGAAACGTATGTAGAAAGGAAAGATGCAGCATATTTAGGAAAGCAATTAAAGGTAGCAATTATCATTTAATAATACTAAAACATACACATTTTTTTGTGAGGGGAAAATCATCCAATTACTTCTCCCGCCCAGGGCCGGGCAGGAGGGAGTGTCAGACTCTTACTGATTATAAACCCCCCTGTTCCTTCTCCTGCTCTGGGCCGAGGTCGCGGTGCCTCATTGCGCTTACCCCGCAACCCCGGCTGAACATCAGCCCAATAGGGCCCCGTCTGTCTTGTCTCTTGGCTATTTACGTCAAAGACGAGAGAACGACCTTAAAGTCAAAGTATATACATCACTTGTTCCGTAAAATCGCACTTTTGAAATGTCAAAGTTGAATTATCCGTCAGTGAAGCTAAGTGATCATTTCCAAAATATGGATCCGTACAAAGAAAAACGAACAAGAAACTCCCGAATTACGCAACATGCCAACAAATATAACAAGACAAAAATATTCCATTTGCACTAAAGAAAAACACAGACAGCCGACATACAGCTTGACATATCTCAATGTCTCGTAAAAGGTCATATAAAGTATCAACAAATGACCTCAAACGAGACGAGAGGACCAGACATTACTGAAATCCAACGCTATTGTCCTTGTGCCGGGGAAATTCAGCTAAGCTGACACAAAAACTAGGCTATCGAGACGACTCCCATTCAGTGCGACTATCGATCTCCACTCTAGGAGCACTTCGCCTAACAAAAAACATCTTAAATTTGAACGAACATTTTACTTTAATTTCGGTTGCTAACTGTAAAATGTTTAATACCTTAGAACCACTCTTTTCTTCGCCTGTACCCATTAAACGGCTCTTCATTGCCAATTCTACGAATGAGTGAGCTTTTTATAATAAGAAACTATTTACCTTATTATATTGGAGGCTAATTAATTTATTTCTTTTCGTTAGTTATTAGTCCATGCAAAGAACATCAGGCAAGTAGAATAAATACCTGTGTTATATATCTGTTGGTAAGCGCATAACTCAACAACGCCTGGACCAATTTTACAAATTCTTTTTTTAAGATGTTCGTTGAACTCCAAGGGTGGTTCTTACGGGAAAAAATCGAATAATCGCCGGGAAATCCCTAAAAACAGCCCTTTTCTTTTTCACATACAAACGTTTTCCAACTAAAACGTAGAATCAATTTGAGCTTTATTGCTATTGTATAAAGTTCATATTAAATAACAATCACTCACTGTTATCTAAGAAATGTAGGTGTGTTCCTAACGTCAAAATGTAAATTTGCACTTTTTTACCGCTATACGAAGTTCAAATTCAATCATATCTATCAAAACAGTGTGCGTGTGTGCGTTGGAGCACAGAATACGCCGTTTTAGGATTTAATGTTGCGCTCCGAAATTAAAAAAAAAGGAAAAAAAATAAAACATTGGTATGGCTATAATGGTTTTGACATTGACTTCCAGTCATATCAGATAAAAAAAACAACTGTCAATGTCGATTGGCCGCCTTTGCCGGTGTTGTTTTTCTGCTCGCTGGATTTCCCAGGATTGCCACTTACACAACACACACACATTTGCCGGTTAGCGATTAAAAAACTCCCAAAGAACGTGATAGAAGCAACTATATTCAAAGGAAAGTACAAAGGAGAAGATGTTCTCATACCGCGCATCCCAATAATTCCGACTGATGTGCCATTTGAGTTTAAACGGCTACAGTTTCCAGTGCGGCTTGCTTTTGCTATGACCATAAACAGGGGCAATCATTAATTGTTTGTAGTATTAATTTGGAAAACCCATGTTTCTCACATGGTCAATTGTATGTTACCTGTTCCTGTATTAGAAAACCATCAGATTTGTTTGTCTATGCGCCAGGCAATCAAACAAAAAGCATCGTTTATCACAAAGCACTACAATGAACATAAAACAGTTTTTGTTAATATTTATGATTTACATTATTGAAAATACTGACTTTTAAATGCTTATAGGGTTTTAATTAAGTTATAATTATTACCAGGGAGATCAGGTAGGTGTCCAGGCTCTGTTCAGGATATTTTTTTGCAAAGAATATGAAATAGGTAGGAACAAAACACTGCCACATTACAATTTTTTTTACAGGACGAAGTCTGTCGGGTCATTTAGTTTTGAATATAATCTAAAATATCAAAATGATTTATACTTCTAAATTTTGTAAATCGATTAATCTTTCCGTAGCCATTACAATTAAATGAGAGTAGACGCCATCTTTAAACGACGGTAGATCGATTCTAAATTCAATTTTAAATGCGGAATATTCTCATATTTCGAGGTGAATGGATGTAAGAATGTTATGAAGCCAACCCGCATTCATACAGGATTTGCGCTGTCGTTCAAGAGAATGGGACAAAGGAATTTATTTTCTATTGAAATATTCCATGGCAAGTCTGCACAACGTCTAAGTCGTTTAATACTTCAAAATAACACGCATTATACCCTCTTTAAAAAGTTTTACCTTTATTTTCTACACATAATTTGTAGATAGGTAGGTAGGGGTAGAATGTATTGCAACACTTACGAGTATAACTCCTTTAGTGTTGCGGGTGTCCACGAGCGTCGCCGATTGCTTATCATCAGTTACCCTATCTAGCCGTTTGCCTACCTATCCTGCTAAAGAGTTGTGATGACGTTAAAAATAGCCACAATTCTAAGCTAAGATGACTGGATAATGAGAAAATGTTATATCTATTTCAGCCAGTACCTACCAAGACGAGATAAAAACTTTTTAAATTGCCTTCGCAAAAAAGAGATTAAAAACATTAGTGCCGCATGATTTACTGTCAAATTTTGGCAAAGAAAGGGACTTAGAAGACGCTATTTAACAATGTATAATTAAGTGGGGGGGAGCCAAGCTTCGGCACGAATGGGTCGGCTCGACCGGAGTGATACCACGGCCACACAGAATACCGGCGTGACACAACCCAGCGTTGTATTTGCGCCGTGTGAGTGAGGTTACCGGAGGCCCAATCCCTCCCCTTCCCCTATCCCTTCCCGTTCCTTTTATCCGCAACCCCTATCCCCAAAAGGCCGGCAACGCACTCGTAACTCATTTGGTGTTGATTCAACATGGGCGGCGCCGATTGCTTACCATCAGGAATCCGTCTGCTCGTTTGCCGACTTATACCATAACAAAAAATGTATACGACCTTTTTTGGTGCTAGTGTTCAGCCAAATGATTTCGCAAATTTTGAGCTTAGAATATGGTGACTGACGTAGCGAAAATTGGACTAAATGCCGCTTGCTTTTAAGAACTTCCTCTGTTTGTTTAAAAATGGACTCATGACGTCCAATGATTTTGATAATGAAAAGCGATTATAGAATCAAGTTGTTTATGTGATCATCAATTTAATATTAAAGCATTTTCTCTGAAATCGTATAAAAGAGATAAATTATCCATCACATTTATCAGCCGTCAATGAATATTTATACTGGAATTAATTCATGTATGTTTATTACATAAGCAGCTAATTATGTAAACACACGTGCAGGTTTACATATTTCTAGGTAATGAAGTATATGTGTAGGTATTCAGTAAAAGGAACACATTTTTTATTTAGCATCCTCAATTTTACATTCGTGTTGTACAGACGACTGCAGTAAGTTCCACCTATTTTTTTATTATTATTTTATTTAATTAATTAGAGGACAGTTACTAAGTATTGAATATTATTTTGATAATGGCACTATAAGGAAATTTCGTGTATTTCAAATGAAAGTAATCAATATTAAGAAACTGTTCCAAATTTGGTGATTTCATGTACTTACTTTATTTTTAAACAAAAATTCGTAAACTTCACTCTTTTTAAATTATAATAAGCTTTTCGATGAGAATTATAAATATTTGGCACATTCCATAAATATAAACTAATAAACAATAAAGTATCGTGATGTAAGTATAAAAGATTTTTTAAATTTAAAAGATGGTTTTTTTTTTGTAATGCTTTGAATTCCTATACATTAATCGTAATCTTTTTTGGCTGAGAGTTTCTTTCAAACAATTTATCATTAATAAAAAAAAACTACGATAGTGTAGAGGCATTTCTTTGTTTGTCAAAACAGAACATAGTAAAACCTACATGCATATTTATTCAACCTCGATTTGGCGACTCGGTTATTTCGTACGCGAACGAATCAATACCTACGAGGGTGCTTCTGAATAACTGTCGACATTTTCATTCAAACTTTGCTTACATATTTACTAATAATGCCAAGGCCGTCCTAAATATTAATTTCCATAACGACCAAGATTTACAACGATTTGACTAAGTGTCGGCTGTAAAAATTGGTCTGAAAAACACCATAATTCTTGCTGAAAGAACACGCGATCATTGTATCTGTGATCGTTAAAATTAGGTAGACAATATAGTGGTAGGCTGGGCAGAGGTGAAATAAAGAACACTCGATAATATAATAATATCATCTTCCTTTGTATACATAATTATAATCCTGCAGTGTGTGTGTATGTCATTGAACTCCCCCTAAACGGCTTGACCGATTTAAATGATATTTTCTGTACGCCTTTATGTGGTGCCCTGGATAGTTTAAATTCACAAATCACCTCGGCAGATGGCGCTGATTGCTTGAAAAAGCATGTGATCTCGGCCCTAACGATTTCGCTGAAATTTTATATGTGGAGATTTTCGGGGAGGAATCGCTAGTAAATTAATAAAATTAGGAAAGTCTGCAACACATTGGAAACTTAAAAATACGAAAAAAGTATCTAAAAGACTTAAAATAAAATTAATACTAAAACGTCTACACTATAAAAACAAATTGACGCCACAGAAGACAACTGACATGTCAAATAAAATATCATCACGGCTGTACTCTAATATGGAACATGCAGTAGTTGTATGTACTAGACAGTGTTGGACAATTAACAACAATGTTTTATGCTACGATTATAATTAATTATTTATGTTTTATCAGATCAAAGTTGTCAGTTGTCGTCATTTAAAAAGGAATGGTCCGTTGTGTGTGCAATATTTTTACATTAATATACGCTGACACGTGTTACTCGTGTTTGGACAAAGCTGGCACATTCATTGACAGGCAGAATGCAAAATGCGTATAATGAACTGTGTGCTAACAAAATATTATGTTGCGTTGTGTGACATTTTTATAGACCTGTTTTGTAAATAAGTCCTTAATTGTAAACAATTATGATCTATATGTATGTATTTACAAAACAACAAACCCAACTAAGAGCTAAGTATTCGTTACTCTTAATTGTATATTTTGTAAGAAATAAATCACTCTCCCTTATCTCTAACAGGTTGTAACTGGTCTAGAAAAAAAAATGAAAGGCTTTGTTAAAAGTACGGTCGAACAAAATTCTGTATTTCCTACTTCGAGATTGTTCGCAGAAGCATATAATCTGATTTTTAAACGGTTTTTTTTAATCTTAATGGAAATTATTAATAGGTATCTCTAAGTTCTCAATTCTACTTACTAGACAAAGATAAATCTAGGGCACAATATTGATGTTAAAGATATTTTATACGACATTTTTTATTCTTATTAAATATAAAAGGTTGTAGGTTGTCGAGAGTCTACCATCACTTAAAAGGAAAAAATAAAACCACTTCTTCTGCCTGAATAATCTAACGATGTTCATCTAGAACCTTGTTTACGCTGTAAGGTGATATCGTTAAGACATTCCCGTAATGAGGACAGGGACGGCTCTAATTTGTTTTTGAACGAAACTCTAGAAGTATTAGACGAATCTGGGACAATATGTTTGCGTTTTGTTGTCGTATTGCAATTTTGGGCTGTTACACGCTATTGACAATTTTTTTTTTTTAGTAAAGTATCATTTACACT